CAATTTGGAATTTTGATATGGCAATATGTATAGAATGGATGTTAGTATGCTATTGTTTCTCCTTTTCCCCCTTAACCTCAATTCCCTTTTTCCTTTCTGTCACCCCTTGTTAAAAATAAATTTAAAAGAAAAAAGAAAAAAAGAAAAAAATTCAGTATCTTCTCACTAAATGTCACCAAGATCCAGGTCTATAGAGCCTGTGTCCTGAGCATACTCCTGTACTGCAGTGAGTCCTGGACTCTTTGTGCACGTCAGGAGAGGAAGCTGAACACGTTCCATATGCACTGTCTCCAACTCATTTTTTGTATCACCTGGCAAGGCAAAGTTCCAAATGGAGTAGTCCTAGATCGAGCTGGGATTTTTAGCATGTATACATTACTGAAACAGCGACGTCTACGTTGGCTTGGGCATGTCGTGAGAATGGCTGATGGTCGGATTCCAAAAGATCTCCTGTATGGAGAATTAGTGCAGGGAAATCACCTCAGAGGGAGACCACAGCTGCGATACAAGGATATCTGCAAGCGGGATCTGAAGGCCTTAGGAATGGACCTCAACAGATGGGAAACATTGACGTCTGAGCATTCAGCCTGCAGGGCAGGCGGTGCATCATGGCCTCTCCCAATTTGAAGGGACTCTTGTCCAGCAGGCCGAGGCAGAGAGGCAGTCCCGTAACGAGCAAAAACAGGGAGCAAGACAAGGGACCGAGTGTATTTGTCTTCAGTGTGGAACAGGGAGCAGGACAGGGGACCAAGTATATTTGTCTTCAGTGTGGAAGGGATTGTCACTCTTGAATTGGCCTTTTCAGCCACATTAGATGCTGTTACAAGACCTCTATTCAGAGCATGTTACCAGTCTCTCGAGATTGAAGGATGTCTATTAAACAAACTAACAACATAACAGAGGGAGCCACAGCATTAGTAAAGGTACATGAAACAGAAAATGGGAACATTTGTACAGACAACAAATGCTCGAGGGAGATTTAAGGTTACTTCAATTCATCTAAGGTGGGAGCAGAAGGCTTCCCTCTTCAATTGCCTCTTAAATGTCGCCAGGGAAGGGGGCAGGGAAAGCTCCTCCAGGAGCTGATTCTACAAAGAGGGAGCCACTGCAAAGAAGGCCCTGACTTGCAGAACATTTATGGGCTTCCCTCGGGGTGGCTACCTGGAGGAACCTTGTCTGCGATGACCTGGCGGGTTGGGCAGCTGACACTGGGGCAAGATGCTCCAGAAAGTAACGTGGACAAAAGCACCTACTACATCAGTAGTTACCAGCCATGGGTAACCCCGGTGTTCTTGGACTACAACTCCCAGAAACCCTAGTCATCTTGTAGAAGATTTATGGGCTTCCCTCGGGGTGGCTACCTGGAGGAACCTTGTCTGCGATGACCTGGCGGGTTGGGCAGCTGACACTGGGGCAAGATGCTCCAGAAAGTAACGTGGACAAAAGCACCTACTACATCAGTAGTTACCAGCCATGGGTAACCCCGGTGTTCTTGGACTACAACTCCCAGAAACCCTAGTCAGAACAGGTAACGATGAAGGCTTCTGGGAACTGCAGTCCAGGAACACCTGGGTTGCCCAAGACTGGAACCCCTGACATGGAGGCTGGAATTAGGAATGGAGAATCAACAAGTGGCAAAGTGCTTAAGTCTTTCCCTCACCTGATTTTCACATTGAGAATCGTGACCACACTGTTTTTTGTTTTGGTCCAACAAGAAAAATAGGGCTAGCCTATATGTTTTTTTGGCAAATGGAAATGTGGTTGAGGCAGAATGACTCTGAGCATAAAACTAGGGAGGAAAACACTATGCATCAAAATGCCCACTAGATAACATCACTATATTAGGTAATGTAGATCTGATCTTAATTTTAAGAATTTGCATTTTTTTGTCAGTATTCAAGGGCTTTATCTCTAGCAGAGGAAAAGCAAATTAAATTTTCAGAGTGAAACCATTAAGCATTTTCTTTGCTAAGCATTTGAAAGCCAATTTCTATTATTACTAATTGGGTTGCACTAAATTTCATTTTGGATTAACGCCACCACCAACATAGGAAGCCTCTGGATCTTGAGCATGTATATGTATATAGTCTGATTTTGCTTGTAATAGCATTAACCAAATTAAAAAAAAAGAGAGAGGAGCAAAACATCTTTAAAAAGTCAGAAATAGGTCTTTGAATAATTTATAGGAGAGATTTATTTGAAGAAATATTACAACATATAAAAACTACATAAAGTATTAATTTCCACTTGTATAAAGTGGTTGATTAAATTTCAATACAATGCATCGTAAAAACATCTTCAACCCCTTCCCCCCCCCAAACACACACACGCACACGCGATGAAGTGGCAGGCACTGCACAGTTGATCACTTGAAGAATGGTCGTTTGGAACATCAAAACAGGTTCAGAATGTCAGCCAAAGAGACAAACACGGCTCACAAATACAGGGCTTGAAGAAAGAGAAGAAGAGAAAGACGTAACACACACAAAAATATTCTTCCCCATCCCCTGCTGAAACAAGCAAAAACCTCCCAACAAGGTTCAGTGTGTCCAAAGGTAAGAAAATGAACTGGAAATAAAAATAAATCAGTGCATGTTTGGGTGTTCAGGTGCTGGAACCAAGGCGCAGCAGGCAATGGGCTATTGACGAATCAATCTGAAGTGTCCATTTTTTCCCGTTTGATGGTATCTGTAAAAGAACAAGATGCATCAGAGATGTAAATTCAAGATAGATAGATATTCCGGCTGGGGGCGGGGGAGAGAGAAAGGTCCAACAAGCATATGGACCTCTGCACACACATGGCAGGCAAGCTAGTTGCTTCTGGATTGAAGCAAGAACCTTCAATTTCTCCCATTCCCCACCTAAAACACAGTGGGGGGGGGACTCCCTAGTTTATGGAATTCCTTTACATGAGTCCTTTACATCCGCACACGGGAAGGTGTAGCCCTTCAGATGTAGCTGGGCTGTAATTTTCATTGCTTCTGTCCAGCATCATGTTATGGTGAGCAGTCACAGGTTCTGCAGCTACATAACTGGAGGACCACCCAGCCCTGCTTGAGAGCATTTAAGGAGACGTGTTATTATTTTTGTCTTTGTGTACACAGGGGCCAGAGAGTGGGCTGCTTGAAAAAAAAAGGGTAGTTGGTTATTGTGGCGTTCGCCCTTGTGCCCCCTGCTTGCCCTTCTGTCCCAAAGGCTCATGTCGTGTTTTCCTCTCCCTGCCACCAGTGGATTACCTCAATTCACAATATAAATGATGTTTGTCAGGACGCTTGTCTTGTGAACACAAACAGAACTTATTTATGGAAGTGAAGCAGATTGAATAATAACAGAAGTCCTTCAGATACACATTATACACAAGCAAATCATTAACGGCTCTCTAAGTACATACTTCTTTTCTCTTGCTATATCATTACCCCCTTCTCTCCCTATTTTCTTTACCAGCCTTATCACTCAGTATCTGTTCCCTCTCTCTCTCTCTCTCTCTGACTAACCAGCCCTTATCTCTGACTCCTCCGCCTCCCACCAAATCTCATGGAGCTGCTGACTCCGCCTCTCCAGTCCTCTCATAGGCTCATGCAAATCAGCTCATGACTATGAATGGCATGAGTGACGTGGGGGCGATCGTCACAGTAATCTTACTTAAAGGGTTCACTTTGAAGGATAAGGAGTAGAAATGGGCACAAACTGCTGGTTCGCCAATTCAGCATGGTTCGTTTCCCAGCGGAACAGGTGAGCCGCAGTTCAGCACCCCCACTCCCTCCAGGAGATGCCCATTCAGCAGCAGCAGCAGCACCTAGACTCCTCCAGGCACTGCTGCTGAATGGGCACCCACTAGAGCGGGCAGAGGACTGAACCTTGGATCATCTGTTCGGCCAGGAAGTGAACTGCGCAGAACCATGCAGTTCTTGCCCATCTCTAATAAGGAGATTGAAGGAAGAGAAAAAAACAGAAGGGCAAAGGACTGAAACACCCCCCCCCACACACAATCACTTGTGTCCAGGATGGGCAGCTTATGCCATGATAAAAATTAAGACTATCCCAGAAGGTAATGGGAGGATTCCAGGCCTGGTCAAACAATCTCAATGCAAACAGACCAAGGAATATACAACACAAGAAATACATTTTGTTTTGCCACCAGCTTCATGGTTGGGGCAAGATACAGGTTGCCTGAAGTGTCAGAATGCAGAGCCCAAATGTCCACCTTAAATGTATGATTGCTGACATCCTATAACGTACCTGTAGCAACTTCTTTCATTTTGGCCAATACACATGATTTGATCTCTAGTCCGATGGCTTTTGCCAGAGGTGGAGGAACAGCATTGCCCACCTACCAAAAAAAAAAAAGAGAGAGAGACCATCAAGGCTGCAGTGAAAATTGCTGGCAGATATTTGTTGCGAACTGGAAATGAGTCAAACCATACTGATAAGAAAAAGCAGCATAACTACTAATGGGAGAGATGCTGCCTCAATCTCTACCATAGAGGAAGCCAGATCCAGAGAGGGCAAGCAGATTTCCCCAGTCACATTTCAGGCCTTTGCATCACAGCCCCTGGCAAAGCCTACTGCATCAAACTACTACACAGAGATAAAAGAGTTTTACAACAGCATATCAGGCTGCTTTGACAACACACCTTGCATTTCACCAACTGTATTCTAAGTCTTGCAATCAAGTGTAGAAATGCAGCTGGTGGCTGGTAACATGACGGTCCTCGACAGTGGCTTCCCACAAATATCAAATGACTCTTGTATCTGAGGAAATGGACTTGTCCATGAAAACTCACGTTAAAATGTAGCAGTTGGCCTCTAAGGTGCCACAACGTGTTTGTCTTCTTCTTTGTTGTTGTTGTTGTTGTTGTTGTTCTTGTCTTCTTTGTTTTATTATTATTATTATTATTATCTTTTGTTTTTGCCAGATATGCAAGCAGAGACTAACACACTCTTCTAAAATTCAGCCAGTTTTCCTTGTACTTTGTCAAAGCCTGGATTCTTACAAGTAGAAACCCATTTTCTTGCCTGGAATAGAGACACTCTGATGCGTCTGCCCTCACATACAGCCTCTATAAAATAAAGGTGAGTGACGAGAGGACCTGCTTCTAGTGTTATTTTAGGCAACTCCTTCCATCATCCGGAGCCTTTTCTCAGTTTATCCAGGTAAATTTTAGAAACTTTAGGCACCTTTAAGGTACGAGCTCTGAAGTGATCTGTAGTCTAAAACCTTGCAGCCATATTTCAGGGATGGGCAACCTCCAGAGGTCCGGCAGCTGCACCCACCTAACCTTGGACCTTGGTAGGCCCTTCCCACCTCCCCATTTATTTTTTCTTTTAAAAAGGCCTTTTTACAGAAGGAGATCACTCCTGAAACCTAGTGGCCAAAAAAAAATCCACTTTTTTTTCCAAATGCAGAAAACTTTAGGGAGTTGTGTGTTTGTGTAGAGGAGGGCACAACCTGACAAAACTGTCTTGCACGTTCTTATATAATATTTGGGGAGGGGCACCTGAGTGCCAGAGGTTATGAACAATCTGAATTTTGCCCCTGCACACCTTAGACATTCCAGCTTTTACAGTGTTTTCCAGCAAAGAAAATTTGGCATAGTTTTGTTTCAATGGCTTCCTATGTTTCTGGTTTCAACTGTATTCTCCTTTTATTTCATATTACTGTGACCTGGCTTTGAGTCGCCTTTTTGGGAGGAAGGCAAGACCCACTTCTAGTAAATAAATAAATGTCATAACACAGAACACTCTAGTATATAACACACAGAGGTACTCAACTTTGGGTTCTCCAGATATTTTGACCTTTAATTCCCAGAATTCCTTGACCTTTGGCTATGCTGGTTAGGGGTTTCTGGGAATTTATGCTCAAAACATCTGGAGGGCCCAATGGTCAGAACCACTGCTCTCAAAGAAGTGCAACTGAAAGAAGACAGTACTGCTTTCTATCCCTTTAATTTTTCTTTTACATCGGGGTAAAGATTGTGCTCCAGCATTAGCTTTCAAGCAATGCGGTAAAATCCAAACAAGGAATAAAACACTCTCAAAACAGGAGGCCAGCGGCTATAGGGAGAAAAGGATGTTTTTGCCAGGCATCTTCACTTCCATCTCCACAGCATTTGAAAGCAGCAAGATGTCCCAGAACAAGGAGGAATCATGTAACTTACCTGTCTGTGTTTGTCAAGAACGTTTCCAAACAGCCTGTAGGTATCAGGAAAGCCTTGGGACCTGGCACACTCCCGCACGCTTACCACCCGGTGCTGCTCAGGGTGAAGCACACGGCCCTACAGAAAGAGGAGAAGCATTAGTGACAACCAGCTTTTTCCAACGGGTAGGGCAGTGCCCACTTGATCACCCTGTTCTGGGCGAGGAATCAGTTCCTGCTTCAGATCAGAATGGCTACCGATGCAGTCCAGGGATATACTACACTACCCTCTCTGTTTTTCTGTGCCACTTATTTCATATTTTCTTTTTTAAAAAACAACACAATCCATAGTATATTAAATATCAAGATACACTTTATAATCTAGACAAGACAGGCCTGCTGAATGATGCTGAGACTAAATGAAAAAGCAAAGGGAAGACAAAATTCGTCTGGCGCCGACGTCAATGACATTTCGGCGCCAGGTCAAAACCTTCCTGTTCCAGAAGATTTTTTTAACTGAAATAATATCAACAGTGGGTCCTGATGGCAATTTTTAGAATATTGTATTTTACTTGTATTATCTTTTTATTGCATTTAAATTGTTGTAAGCCATCCAGAGACCTTTGGGTAGTGTGGGTGGCATATAAGTTATGTAAGGGGACACCCAAGACGGACAGGACATAGTGGAGAGTTCCGACTAAACGCAATCCACCTGGAGTAGGAACTGACAATGCCACTCCAGTATCTTTGCCAAGAATGCCCCATGATCAGAAACAAAAGGCTAAAAAATATGACGCTGGAAGATGGGACCCTCAGGTCGGAAGGCGTCCAACGACTAAACGTAAGTAAATAAATAAATACATGGGGAAAAAAACCTCTCTAAAAGTGAAACATCCTTCCATGATTTCTGATGTTGACTAAACAACGAAGTAAATAAATAAATACATGGGAAAAAAAACTCTCTAAAATTGAAACATCCTTCCATGATTTCTGATGTTGGCTGAAGTTGGTAATTCTTGGGCAGACAGGCCAACAAAGGAAAAGCCCTGCTCCAAGGCTCATGAAACAGAGGAGCAGACCATATGATTATACACACAAACTATCTCGTCTGCAAAAAGTTGACGATGCATGTATTCATCAGAAGAAATTCCCTTACCTGCTTCCCCATGGGCTCAGGGTTGGTAACTGTTGTACTGAAGAATCCGTCCCACTCTAACCTCCCATACAGGCCAGCCCAGTGGTTGTGCCGATTCCCCGTGTGGGGCAAACACCAAGGAATCAGGGTGTTGAACTGCCGGTCTGCAGGGTCACATGGCTTGCCTAGAAAGGAAAGTGGAGTTCAGACAATTCTGTTGAACATGTAGGCGGAAGTATCATAATGTTCAAAATGGCTGAGAGTGATGTCAAGGTGGAGTACTGGGCTGGGGGAACCGAAGGGGACCAGGAATGGACCCTCCTAGACAAACCAGAACCTGGTTTAATTAAACATTCATCAATTCATTACTTAAAAGTTCTTAGTCACCACTCTTTTAATCCACTGGCTTTACTGCTGTGCTGGTTTTTAATGCTTTTACTTGGTATTTCATTATGCTTTTTTGTATCTGTATTACTGCTTGTGAAGAGATGAAGGGCTTGGGGTAAAATGAAAAATGAAACTCATTTTCCAGATTTTCCTGTGTGCCTGTAAGCACACAGGAATGTGAACTTTCACTCCTTGGAGGTAGCTTGCTTGCACCACTTCCCTATCTTCCATTCGGGCATTCCTGTTTGGGGTCCCTTCAAAGAAGGACTGAGCTCAAGAGGACTTCAAAGAGGAGTCTGACACCTCAAACTTTATTTTTGTATATCAAAGTAGTCACCAATGTTTGTATCTGAGTTAGGAAATTAATGTGCTTCGTTGCTCAAGGGTATGCAAATTAATAGGCCATTCACGTGTATAAAATGGAATTCGGAATCTGAGTCTTCTGAAGTTTAGCATATTTCAGGGAAGTTGTGCTTGGTGGCAGCATTACAGAGTTACACCTATAAGAGGTTGTGCTAAAGAATACAGGGAGTATCTCCCCAGATTTATTCCATTGCTCTGTATAGATGAACTGGGTAAGGTAAAATAGTCTTTGCTTCTTCTCTTGTGTTTCTGTTTTGTGCACAGTAATCCTGTACACTATTTGCTCTTGTACTAGGAACTGTTTTCCTATTTTTTTGGATTGACCTCTCCCCCCATCTCTTTCCCCCCTTTTGTAATAGAGTACAAAAATCCTTTCAGTTCAGTGTTTGGAGGATGAAGGAGAGGCAAGTGTGGTACTAAACTTTCAGTCCTCACCTCATCCAAACTACCAGAGTTTTACTACTGATTGTTATGGGAACTGGCGACAGATTATTGTAGTTGATGTACTGAACCCCTGGGGTACACCCTGCCTTGCCAAGTTGCAAGCCTGCTGAGGGGATGAAAGGATCCCAGCCAGGACTCATAGTATCCCCCGTGGCTGTTCTCTCTGGGCACTCTCACTCAAGAGAAAGTGGGAGGCAGCATGGTGGAGTGGCTAGCGTGAGGAATCTGACCAGCAGGTTCTGCGGCACTCCTTATACCTGTTCTGAGCACCTTTTGGTGCGGCACACAGAACTAGGGAAGAAGCAACGACAGCATTTGAGAGCTTGGCCAGAGAGTAGAGACTCCAAAAGCACTGAACTTGTAAGGGTTGGAAGGACTTGGCCATAAACAGCATTCTTTCGGCAAACTGCCCCAATCAACTCTGCCCTCCCCTTGCAGACCCACACCTCCTCCTACCTTCAGCACAGGAACAGACACCCCGCAGGGCTCCTGTACTGCTCCGCCCATTTTTCTTGTCGTGGTGCGTATAGCGCAGCTGGCGGGTGGTTGTCCCATCTGAAAGGCGTACTTCAATGTTGGGCAGATCACGCCAGTCAGAGCCAGGGGCAAGTGGAATGTGCCTCATCCGAGCAGCTACCAGTGCACTCATATCCTAGGAAGAAAAAGACCTGGGAACCTCAGGACTTCCAAGTCTCGTCAGCAGCAGAAACCACCCAACCGAAAGACTAATGGAGAAGACCATTATTCCTCCAGGACAGATGCTCATGTCCAGGTAGAAGATGTATAGTTTCCTTGTTTAATATTTTTACCTCTTGATTGCATGTTCTGGCAGCAGGGTGGACCTGATGACCCTTGGGAATCCCTTCTAGCTCTACACTTCTATGACTGTATGAAAATGGGGCTTCCTAAAGTGGTCCAAACAGCATCAAAGAGGAAGCAGAGCGCCCAAGTTGAAGGAATGTGAGTAGCCTTACAATGGATCTGGCAGTCCGTTCCTTGAGAAATCTGATCTGGCCACTGTGATACTAGTTACGTACTTCCTGGCTGGATTACTGTGATGAGCTCAATGTGAGACTGCCTATGAAAAGTATCAGGAAACTTCAACGGGTACAAAATGCAGCAGCCAGATTGCTGACTGGGTGCTGCTTACAGGGATCACATAACCCCTCTGGTTACAGCAGCTCTACTGGCTGCTAATCAGTTACCAGACACTATTTAAAGTGCTGCTTTTAACCTATAAAGCCCTAAATGGCCTGAGTTCAAGATATCTTAAAGACTGTATATCCCATTATGAGCTGGCTAAGATGTTAAGATCATCAAGAAAGGCCTTTATCTTGGTCCCTCCACCTTCACAGGTATGTCTGACGGGGACATAGGAGAGGGTCTTCTCTGTCGCTGCCCCCAGACTCCCTCCCTCAGGAGACCAGGCTGGCCCCATCTTTGCTGTCCTCCTAAAAGCAAGCAAAGACCTTTCTCTTCAGGCAAGTCTTCCTTCAGTAACTAGCTACCTGTGTGTGACTTTTAGATAGATTGCTGTGCTTCAATGCTTTGACTGGATTTGTAGTACTACTAGTGTTTTCCATTTTTGTGTCCATTTCTCAGAATGGCATTTTAAAAAATTGTATGTTTATTGATCTTTGCCTTAGTATTGCCTATTAACTTATTTTTCCATTTATAACACACCCCCGTTTATAACACACACACTCCTTTTCTAACCCCCAAATTAAGAAAACTTAACTTTGAGTATTCAGCCTTTGGGCTCAGAACACTCAGACATTAGGAGTCCCTGTTGAATCTGAGCCTACAGGCTCCACCTCCAATGAGGTGTGTTCCAGTTGGTTTGTTCAGCATCAGCTGACATCAGTTCCATAAGGCTTGTGATTAGAAGAAGCTTAGTCTCCTGACTGTAGGAAGCTAAGCCTGGTGACTGAAGGAACCCTGTTTACAGAGGCAAGGTATGTGCCATTTTGTTCTCTTCTCAGCGATCTCCACTTACTTCTGTGTATAAGATGCACCTCAATTTTTAGTGTAATAATTTTAGGAAAAAGTAGTGTCTTGTACATGGAAAAATACGGTAATGATGTAAGATGCCTCCTTATTTATTGTTCGTAGTTTTAAATATTGTCTTTTAATTATGTTAACCACTATTGCACACTCATTGTTTTCAACTTTGAATATTTCAAGGGGGAAAGGTGGGAAACAAACAAACAAACAAATAATGGAAGTTGCCTCTTGATGCTCTCCATCAAAAAGGGAGCGTCTTGATGCCCTTCTTCAATGTTTGCCATTGAAGACAGGAAAGAAATGAAACCAATATATAACATCTTAAGAACCAGGAAGTGCTTCCTCACCTTGCAGATGTGATCTCTGAGGATGGGCTGATACTGAGAGCCTCGGATTTGCCTCTGGAACCAGGACTGGGGTTCCCCATTGTAGGAGATTTCAAGTGCTGATGCCCCATTTCTGATCTCAGGAAGATCTGACATGGTGTCCCGGACGGTGATGGTTCGGAATGGGCCTGAGTATGTCCTAGAACAGGTCAAAAAGCACTCCACTCAGAGGTCTACTCCTGCGTGGATTCTTCTCAATTCCTACCCTACAGGAAGTCTATCCAGCTGCAGTCTTGCAGGGATGTTCTTTGGGTACAGAGAAACCTGAAGCCTGATTTTTTTTTTTAAAAAAAAGCCTTTATCAGAAACTAAGGAGAGACTAGAGGAAAAGAGGGGGAAATGATCAGCTGTTCTGTTGAAAAACTAAGGACGATGGCTGCCATCAGGATCATGTGCATTAGGTGGCCAAGGCAGGAATAGCTTGGTGTAGGGCAGGGCAAATGATAAGGAAAGGAGATGCTTTCAAAGCCTCTCCTGGCCCCTTCAAACTTCTGCCAGTCCCTGGCAGACAAAAGTTCTCCTCTTGCTCTCCAGACCTCTAAAAACAAGGGGAGTGGGACTCAAGGTGTGGGCAGCTGAAATGTGTGAACCAAGTCAAATGGCACATCACAGGGAGAACTAACTCATCTTCATTCAGTATGCAAATAGAGGCAGTTTTGGAAGGAAACAACACCGTTGAGGTTGGTGGGATCATAATCAATATTCTGTGGGATCCTATGCAGGCTGGTGCAGAAGGAAGTATCTGTAGCTTTGTTTCATTGAAATGACAGGGAGGAGAAGGGTGGGGTGGGTGTTACAAGCTGAAGCTGTGTCATCCTTAGTCTGGGCTAAAAGCTCAGAACCCAGTCAGGCGTCATGTTTCTCTGAAGACCCGTCCCACCAAGATTCACTGAATTTGGCAGCTGGCCATTACCTTGTGATATTGCTAACAAATTTCTTGTCGTCCACCACTACGCTGAGCTGGCAGGCTCGGGGAGCAAAGACATGAAGGGGTTCAGGGAACATGGGAAGTTTCTCGCCAGGAGCGGCAGCCAAAACAATTGCTCTCCTGCGTGTCTGGGCCACACCGTACTGACCAGCCTGGGAGGAGACAGAAGAGGAACATGCATTGATTTATCCGGAGGTAGAACAACTGAGGCGTCAGCAATAAAGCTTTCTTTTCCCCCCACTTAAAAAAATCACAAATCCTCATTCTGAAGCTTTACATTATTCAATAATGTAGATATTATTCAGGTCTACTCTTTGTGTCAATTTATCACCTGGAAACAAACTGGAACATAAATGAAAAGAGAGCTAACAAATGCGTCTGCCCTGCACTTGAGGCTCCCTGTAAGATACCCCTCCAAAAACCAACACATGAACAGCCAAGGCATCAGAGGACAGAATAGAGGTAGGTACTAAAGATGCAGGTTTTAGGGATGATGCCTGCTCCATGCAATGACTCCAGGTCTGACGGAAGGCGGGATCCACATTTATTTGCTAGCCTTCCAGCAAAAAGGACAGGAGAAGAAAATCCATACCCTGACTGAGTGAAATGAGGAGGGGAGATCTGGTCAGACAGGTGGCCAAATCTGGGTAGGAAGGGAGCCTTCCTCTCTAGATCTGCCTCTCTGCTCCTTGGGCAGGAGGAAGAGCAGGGCAAAAATAACCTGAACGCTCCTCTCTCTCCAAGGATCCTCCAGGCATAATCAGATGACAAGAAGGAGACCAAGCGGCTTTCTCCACCCAGTGAGTCTCTGAATGTCTTGCGAAACCAGAAATCTCGCAGCACCTTTAGGACAAATTGGCTTTGATTTTTCATAAGCTCCACCATGTCCAAGAACGCTCTTTCAGAGGCTTCTCTCTACACAGAGACACTGGGAAGTGAGCGCCTCAGCCCCTGAGGTCATCCAATCTGCCAGACAGAGGCTGGAAAGAAACCCAGACCTGAGGGACTAAATGATTTATTATGTTTTATTTAAAATACTTCTACCTCACCTTTCTCCTCAAGAGGATCCAAGGAGGCAAAATACTTCTACCCCACCTTTTTCCTCAAGAGGATCCAAGGGGGTTTTACAATATTAAAACAATATAAAAACCTGGAAGGGGTGGTGATTATAATATTAAAACACAACAATATAAAAACCTGGAAGGGGTGGTGAAAAAACAAACAAACAAAAAAGTGTCCTTACTCCTCCATTTCTAACTACTATAGCTTAGAGCCAGTGATAAATCTGAAGATGCCACATCTCCAGTTTGTCTAAGAAACGCTTTAAAGTCACCTGTGTTATTCAGGTTTCACTGTATCTGGGAGAAAACACAGGATAACCTTATAATTCTGATTTCTTGTGCTGCTTTGGCTCTGCCTCAAAACTAGACAAACCCTTCCTCCCACGACGAGGGCTTGCCAAAGAACACGCTTCTCCCGCCGAGCCCACTAGGCAGCCTGACCACTGTACCTGCAGGACCCCAAAAGTGCACTGGTATCCCATCCGGACAAGGCATCGCAGAGTGAGCTTCAACACCATCGAGCGCTTGAATGAGACAAAGTTCCTCACGTTCTCAAGCAGGAAAAACCTCGGCCTGTAATAGTCGCAGTAGCTGTAGAACGACAAGGGGGCACAGAGGTCAGCTGGGTCACTCCCTCAGCACCCCCCTCAATCGTAGGCACAGGCAGCTTCCCCTCTGGGACAAAGGGAAGGTTTCCCCACTGGCTGTGGATGATGGGAGTTTTGCCACAACATAACTGGATGGCAGCTGGCTGGAGAAGGCTCTGCTTGGGTATGGGCCATGGACAGAACCAAATCAATGTGTCCCTGAGGCCTGGTTCCCATGCTTCAAACAGTGTACAAGGCTGACAACAGCAGCAGCAGCAAATGCCCCAATGCCTTAAGGCAAGCTTATGGATATATTATTGTTATAGTTGTTTCAAGAAAAAGAGCAGCAGCATGCAGGCTCTTGAACCACACCAGTGTTCAAAGCATTTCACGTATCTTGCTACTACTCTCTAAAAGAGGTGAGTAGAAAAGGCTTGTCTAAATTTGCTCAACGATGTTTGTACACCTCAGCGTGTCAAGTTCAAGTCCCCATTCAGCCATGAAACTCCACAGATGCGGAGTTTGAGCCAGCTATTCTCCTTCAGTCTGACCTACTTCAAGGGGTTGTTCTAAGAAGAAAAAAAAGCATGGGGAGTGAGGTGGGGGGAGTTTTGCATGCCAACTTGTCTACGCTCAAAGAAAGGTGGGATAGAAATGGAAATAACATATGAATAACCATAATTAAAGCAAAAAGCGTGCTGCTTATATACATTTTGCATGCCACCTTGTCTTCGCTCAGAGAAAGGTGGCATAGAAATGGAAATAACATATGAACAACCATAATTAAAATGCCGTTCCCTTGTGTTTTTTTTAAACACCACTCTCAGTTCCACAGGAGGGCTGGATTCTGCATCTAATACTATAACCACAGCGCCATGAGGCTCTTAATTAAAATGCCGTTCCCTTGTGTGTTTTTTAAACACCGCTCTCAGTTCCACAGGAGGGCTGGATTCTGCATCTAATACTATACATTTTGCATTTCCGCCTTCCTGTGGATTTGTGACACCTGTATAACCTCTTACTCAGGAGATTACGACCCAGTTGACGAAGTGTGAACAATCGGCTGCAGTCACCTGAGGAAAGAGACCACCAGGGAGTTCTTAAACTTTGAGTAGGTGCGGGAATTGAAGCGGTTCATCCCGCTGAAGCCTTGGCACGGAGGCCCACCGCAAAGCATCTCCACGTCACCCTTCTGTGGCAGCTTCTGGCCCAGAGAGTTGGTCTTTTCCCCAGACATGACCAGCTTGAGAAGGACGTTGCAATCTTCCGTGAACACCGTGGTGCCAGGGTTGTTCAGGCGGAAAGCCTGGGCCGCCGGTTCCCACATCTCGACGGCCCACAGTGTCTCCGAGACTTCTGAGGTGGGGAAAATAAAAAAGCAGCAAACAAAAAGGAGGAGGAGACGGGAGGGCATCATTATAAACTTCCAAAACCAAAAGGGGAAAAAATAATCACTGTCCCATTATTCAAAGGTGTGTGTGGGAGGGGAGAGGGACCCTTTTGGCCCAAAGGAATTCTCCATCCAGTCCACTGGGGACTACAGGCAAAACCCTTCTTCAAACACCCTGGAGACTGCCAGGAAGGGAATCTCCACTACCTCTGGTCACTGACTGGAAAGGCAGCAGGGATACCCTTCTAGGTACTGCTCCTTTTCATACTTCTTCACACAGGGGAGATGGAATAAGAATAAGAAGAAAACCAGCCATGCCTCAGACCAGGGAATAGCACCTTTCTTCTCCTCTTCACTATCTTTCCTCACTGACCCTTCGGGAACGGGGGCCGGAATGATCCCCTTATCCCCAATTCAGTCTCCTCTGCTTGCTTTAAACAGAGGGGAAATTGCCACTGGGTCCATAATGTGGGTAATGTGGAAGACAAAATGGCTGTGCTTCGACAGCTCTTCTCGTGTTGCTTTACCGGCTTGGTGGAAACCTTCTGACAAGCCTCCGCAGCCGGAGAAGACGTCGAGGGTGCGCAGTTTGGGTGGCTTCATGTCAGCAGCTTCATGCTCGCTATGCTCAGAGGCGGCCGAAGATTTCCCTTTGCTTTTACCTGCATCAGAAAACACACACACACACACACACTTGCTTTTTCCTGCATCAGAAAACACACACACACACAAAGGGGGTTGAAGTGGGGATTCTGTCTTCACACTACAGCTGCAGAACTCTCGATTCCACTGTAAATGGGTCAACACACTTATTTTTCAAGACACATTAAGAGCAACCTAAATGACGAACCCCATAGCAAAGAGGTGGCTAATCCCTCAATGCCTCTCCCAAGTGGATTCTCATAAAGTCTGCAGCAACCTTTTCCTGGGGAACCGGGTGCCTTGCTTTCCTGATGCTACAATATGGAATTAGAAGCTTCCCTAGTACAAAAATATTTTTGCAGGACCGCCTCCCCCCACCCCAGCCATCAGACTTCAGGCTTCGCAGCAAAACAAGCAGATTTTCCTCTAGAGTGACCATTCATGCACAGCCCTACTTCTCTCTCTCTCTGTCTCGCAAAGAGTGATCGTGCCGGACTTGCTGCCTTCGTGATGCTGCCGGTTCCAGAACAGTCAAGCACTCACCTTTTCCTTTTCCTTTCCCCTTTCCTTTATTTCCAGAGCTACGGGCATGATATGGAGGGTCTTCAAAGCTTTTTGTTTTTGCATTATATGCCTGGGGAAAAAAAAAAGAACACGCAAGCCCATGTGAGAACTAGGTCACATATACAAAAATAATTTTGCCTCTCCACTGGTAAGCAGGAAAGGTACACACTCTACACAACCATCACTCTAAAAATTGCCTGGGTTTCTGCAAACATTGTTCCAACACTGATGCTTTCAGTCAGAGGTAACCTTATCACACTGGGGTTTGGGATGGCGTTAAGGCTGATGGACAGATCCATCCAAAGGGACACCATCCACCAAGAAGACTCCTTGAAATGAATACAAGCAATGGCCTTGCATAGCTCCTCTGCATTTCATGGAGTCTGAACAGCTCCAAATTAATTAATGTGTCGCCCATACAGGCGGAATGGGGGGGGGGGAACTGGCTTCACACTGCCTGCTTTTAACAGCTTTTAAGCAGCTTTGCTTTAACAGCAGTTGTCTGGTGTTGTGTAGCGTCTCAGGGCAATGTTGCCCAACTCCAATTCCACAGCAGGAAGGGTCACCTCTAGGAAATAGAAACGGTCAGAACCGCTGGCAGAGTAGTCCTGGATGTTTTCGGTCAAGTCCTCCCCGTACACCACAGTGCAGCGGCCTTGCACGTCCTTGAATTCTACGGTCGCCTCTTCGTCACTCCAGTAGAGCAAGTTGATATCGGCATGGTAGCTGGCCTTCACGGACTTGTGGGTGTTCTCCGGCCTACAGAGATAAATGATAAGAGGGGCTCTTTTATTTTTCTGAGAAAAAATATATATATATACCCAAATGGATTGTGTTCATTTCTTGCTATGAGGCCTCCCTTGTGTATCTGGTTTAGCTGAACATGGAGCCAGATAGTCTGATTTTGTGTCAAAATCCAGGAAATCCACACAGCTAGAAAAGAAACAAGTCTCCTCCAGGTGTACAGTTTTCAAACCCTTCATAAACTTGGCAGGTGTGTGCCTCAGAGTTTGGGATTCTTACACTCTCTTGTCCAGAATTTCCTTCAAATGCTCTGTGCTACATTTATCCACTCCTACATTTATGTATTTTTATTTATTTATTTATTTATTTCATTTATACCTCGCCTATCTGGTCAAATATGACCACTCATATTTGTATGCAATAAAGGGCAAACCCTCTTTGTTGCTTTGGTGCTGAAGAAAATCCTTCCTCCAAAAGATCTCATTGGCACTGTGATTCACTGAGCGTTGCATCTGGTTTGGCCTTTAGTCTCACATTTGCTGATCGGTAGAATTGTAAGTTTTATCAGAGGGCAGTCCTTCCCACCCAGAAAGCAAAAAAAGATGTGTTTGATAAAGAGGTCAATAAAGGAAAACAAGAGAGAATAGAGAGAAAAGAATTATGTTTTTAGCAATGAGCCCCATCACCTCCAGCTGGCATCACTGAAGATCAGGGATAATGGGAAATGTAACCCAACAGCTTAGCACCAGGTTGCAGTATGCTGATGCAGGATGTTGGTGCACATAGAAGTCCAACTGAGGCATGGTATAATGGCCAGAATCCTGTTACATGACTTTATGCTGTGGAACTGCACTGACATCATCAATTGCAGCCATTTGGGGAAATGAAGAGGTTCCTATTCTCTCATGCCCAGATTCTGGGGGCCGAGGACCAGGACCGGCAGCAGCAGTTTTTGGATATTAAAGCATTGTCTGCAGCTTTCAAAAACTTCCCCAGGATGAAAGATGCAACCTGATAATGACTTTGAACATATCCTCCAGTATCTAGTATACATATTAGGGGGAAAAAAGCAATTTAAAAGCAAATGTGCCATTTATTGTCATGTCTTGTTTAGCTTTGAATTCAGACTCTGGTCCTTCTCCTGAACCACAAGTTGTCAGGGTTGCAGCCTCTTTAGGTTTGTTTTAAGGAAAGTGCTCAGTGTGAGTAGTGCCAGTTTTGTTAGACATCTAGATGTCATTCTTGTTAGGTTGAAACATTTCACTACTTGGATCCAAGTAGCTTCTTCAGTCTGATGAGTTGCGAAACATTTCAACCTAACAAGAAAGAAGTCCAGTTGCCATGACTCAACTTCCAGATAACCACGCCTGGATGACTGAGAACCTTCACAGATATCTAGACTTCATTATGTGCACATTTCTACACCACGGGATATGTACACTGAAGTCCATTTCCGTATGCCTCTACGCCTGAATCAGTATTTCCCCACCTGGGAGGTTTCCTAAAGTGTTTTCTTGAGGGGTGGGTGGGTCGCAAGTCGCTTTACATGCTTGTAGCCCTTCTTAAATAAGCTCTTCCTTGACCTTTCAGAGTGGGATATTAAGGTTTCGGGGGATGTCGAAGGTTACTTGCCTATTATAAAAGAGGGCTGGATGCAACTTGAAAAAGGTTAGAACCTCCTGACCTGCCTGGATTTGAGCGCCACTGTCTTACTTATGCAGTCCGCACAAGACATGATAAGACCAATCCAGTGGAATCCCTCTTTTCCCATCTGGGTGGCAAAATCATGCTGGACGTTCCCTTACCGGTAAAGTTTGTAGACACGCAGCTTGATTTCTGCTTCATTGGGCTTGCCATTGCTGCGGATGTTACAGTAGATTTCCTTGATTCTGCCAATCCGGTACGGCTCCGGAGCGTCCTGGTTGCTCCCTTTGATGTAGTCCGAGGACTTGCGGTAATGCTCAGGGTACAGCTCCTCATTGACTGCTTCTTTCTTCTGCCGCTTGATAGGGCTGGCCAGCCTCAGGCTGCGGAGAAGGAAGAGCAAAGAAGAAATAAAGCTCTTTAGGCAAATTAGGAGAAAAGCTAGGCCAATAAGAAGGCGTGGAGGATTCGGTGAACTTCCATCCAGACCCTTGATGAGCAAAAGTGATTACAGTATAAAGGAATGGGGATGGGCAGATAAATGAGTAAAAAAATGTTTCTGTTCCACGAAATATTTGTTAACTTATTTGCAAGGCTTTGTCCAATTCCATAATTTTCACATGACAATGGTTAGAATATAAATACAGTACATGTGCCTAATAAAAGCTAACACTCATTAGAAAAGGACATCTTTAAAATCACATTTAAAATATTTGACAGTACTTCTCCACAACAACAAAAAAACTACCTCTCCAAATTGTACATTTAACCATCAGCTTCCCTAATTAAGTTTACCTTTAGCCACATCAACCAAGGAAAGATTTAGTTCTTTATTTTAACAGTTGAAGCACAAACACGCTACTTGAAGTGCCCTGAAATTTAATGATGCAAATGCACAAGATTTCTTATTCACTGTTGTACTCAAGAACATCCTTCCTCTATTAAAACTTTCAATCTTCTCCTTTCTATTGATTGCATACAGCGTAGTGCAATATAAACACATCAATAGCCCTCCCCACTGTTTATAGTCCCCTCAATTTTATGCAATCCACGTGTCCCCCAATGTCTTACCCAATTAATTTATCCTCCCCAACCATTTTCCCACTACAGAAAAGCTCCATAATTCTTCTGATGGATAGTCTGCTGACAAAGGGTAAACCGAACAAAACTAGCCCTTAAATGAACCCAAACATGGAAGATCTAAAATGTTCTGAAAACAATCTGCTGTTTTTAAACCATCTGGCCCACCGTGTGGCACTACTTCTTTTGGAAATTCCTAGCTTGCTTGGGACGAAGCCAGCCTGACATGGAGCGCTCCTTCTTTTTGGGTCCCCTTTTCCCGAGCCTAGTCCGTGAACTCACCTGAACGGGAAGGCCTCTGGAAGGAGGAAAACTCCGTCTCCCACTCGGTATTGCACCCCATTTTTCATTGCCATGCCATAGAACATTTTCCCTTCCGATTCCTCCTGGGGCTCAATGACTTTGGGGATCTCCTTCTGCCTCACCTCATCCAAACGAGTGCAACTCATGCAGAACCTGGAAGTGGGCGAAAGCCAGTGTCTAGTTTCAGCTGGGGGAGAAGAGCCAAAACAAATCCCCACTCCCAGAATGGCTGAGTCAGCAGCTCAGAGAGCACCCAAAGCTTGGAGGTGAGGCTCTACAATGGCACCCGTTTCTATGCCTCTCCCCCACTTTTCAGAATTCTCCGCTTAGAAAGCTCTGATGCCCACCTTCACAAACCACGTCGTCATTACACACTCACTTGTGTTTGTTGTCTTCGGTGGGCTGAGTCTTGGGTGGGGTCTCAAACCTGGCATATTCTTGATCGTACCACATTTGGTAGAAATAGGTCCTGCCATCATCTTCCACCATTTTTATCTCCACATCCAGTCCTCCCTTGGGGGGTGGGGGAGAAAGGGTTTGGGTGGCGGGCAGAGAAGGAGGAGAAAAGGCAGGCTGTTTTAAACAAGAGAAGAAATTCCTACTACAGATTTCAGGATATATATACATGCAAAAAAGTTGAAAATTGGAACTGAGTGGCTACAACCTCCACTACCACACAGCTAGCAGGACTGGAATCCAGGGGATTCTGGAAGTTGTAATTCAAAAGGCACATCTTCCAAACACTGAACAAACTTATCAGAAGAAGCACGTGATCTCCAGGTCTTTGCATTTGTTTGTCTGAGGACTTCCTGGATGCAACATGTTCTCAGTGGAAGGGGCCCAGGACTTGAGGAAACTCATTGTGAAACTTACCACAGGATGCCCGGAGGAAAAGGCATTGTCAAGATACCCCTAAGAAGATGGAAATGAAAAACGACAACCCCAGTGTGAGGGATGGGGAACATGTGGCCTTTTAGTGTGGTTTTTGGACTGCAACTCCGATGATTCCTTGCCACGAGCTATGCTGGTGAGGGCTGATGGAAAACTGTAGCCTAGCACCCCTGGGAGGCCTGCCCCTGCCTCACCCCTGCCCTAGAACAGTTCTGCTTCCGACATCCTATGTTCTAAGGCTCCAACTCTAAAATATAATGAAGTCCTTGACAGGACAAACCAGAGAAACCTCTAACTATGGCAGATTTTTAGAAGTTTAATCCCACACGCACTCCCCCTGCAATGGACTCTGAAGCAACTTTGTAAATGGAGGAGACCTGCTCTCACATGCCATCTGGAATGGCAGTGAAGGGCTTGGGCTGGTGGTGATGGGGCCTGGAAGGGAGCAGAGCACTTAAAGAAACTGAAGCAGGGGAATGATCTGAAGACAAGCAGCTGTAACCTGAAGAGAATAAGCTGAGTACTGTCAGCAGCTAGAGCCACAGGGAGGCGAGTCTAGCTAGGGAGGGGAATTTGTGGCAGGTTAGATGAGGGAGTAAAGGGAGGGGATGGCCACAACTGCAACCGGAAGGAGGAGTGTCTGAAACTCAACAAAACCTGGCTCCCAGCTCTCAAAAACACAGAGTGCAAAAGGTCAAGGAACTCCACCCAGCCACAAGGTCAAGGGATTACTGCACACAAAAAAACAGCTAATGACACCCATCAACCACAGAGACAGATAAACTCCCCTCCTTATCAAAACAATACAGCCACAACAAAACACACTAATCAACCATCTCCTGATCAGGACAATAGCCTATCTCACAAACTAGCCTTCTCACAGCCATAAATACTCCACCCACTCTCAAGCCTACTCAGAGCACAGTTTGCTGTCCTCTGAAGATGCCGGCCACAGAGACTGACGAAACGTTAGGAAGAACCACTTTCAAAACACGGCCAAGAAGCCCGAAAAACCCATAACAACCATTAGATCGCGGCCGTGAAAGCCTTCGCAAATACATTTACTGCCCATCTTTTAGCCGTCAGCAGCTAGAGCCACAAGGAGGCGAGTCTAGCTAGTGGGGGGCTTTGTGGCAGGTTAGATGAGGGAGTAAAATGAGGGGATGGGGCTAAAAATAAAATTAAAATATTTAAAATAAAATTAAAAAATATTTAAAGTTACTGACCATCTTCTATCCAGTGGGCTCAAGGTAGCTTATTCAGCTCTTCCCTTTCCCCATTTCCTCCTCAGGACAACAGCCCTGTGAGGCAGAGTCGGCTGGGACGCCTTGAGTGGTCCCAAGGGCACCAACCCCACGGAGATTGATGGCTCTAGAACCCGGGGGTGCGCCCATCTTTTATCCAATGGGCTCAAGGTAGCTTATTCAGCTCTTCACTTTCCCCATTTCATCCTCAGGACAACAGCCCTGCGAGGCAGAGTCGGCTGGGACGCCTTATGTGGTCCCAAGGGCACCAAACCCACAGAGATTGATGGCTCTAGAACCCGGGGGTGCCTCATGTCCCACTCTAGCACCCTAACCACTGCACGACAGCAGTTTCAGATCTGTCAACTGTGGTTTGAGATGGCAGCAGGGGGAATAATGGCACTGACAGAGGAACACGGTCAAATGACGCTAAAGCAACATTTATTTATTTATTTTATTTTAATTAATATAAGCAGCACAAGGCAGAAGCCGATCAAAAGGAAGGAAAGGCACCCTGAGCCTCAACATCACCTCCTGGAAAGATGCCACAGGAAGGCTGGCAGCCCCTCGGAATTAGCAGGTGACTTGATTTTTTAATGCCACCTGAAAATAAGGAGGGACTGGCCTTTGCCAGGGCCCACTTGGCCCAGCAACTTCTCCTGTCCCTAGTGCCACCCTAGTACCTTCTGCCCCTGGCAACCGTGCTCTTGCGGACACCGGTCTCCCCCTTTGCCCTCCATCATGGGCTCACCTGGCAATGGTTAGGAGCCCAAGGGAACCCTGCTGCTGGGGGAGTCCAGGTGCATCTGGGGCAGGGTGGGGGGCGCTCCTGTTGGAACACACTTGCAAGTGAGATCACCTGCTGGCAGTGCAGCAAGCGGGAAATGGCCATCACAAGGCCTTCTTATTTGGGGAGGGGGGATGTGAGGCATGGAGGAGACTGGCAGTAATCAAGGGCATTCTGCCCTATACGTCCCACCCCTCTAAGCTGGAGCAAGGCCTCCAAACAGGAGACGTGCACATGAATTCAGACAACCTTTCAGTTTATGAACCCGTGTTAGCCTGGAATCTAACCCCCCTAGGAGAAGATCCAGGGCCTCCCTCTAGCAAGGAACAAAAGAGTTAAGATTCTTCAACATACTTCTAGGGACCAGTTCTCTGAGGGAGCCTTATAGATGACATGGACTTTGCCGTGGATGTATGACAGCTGCATGTCCTCACACTCATCGACCAAGAAGAGTTCCAAGGGGTCAGATGTTGCTCCCAGAACAGTGTCGGTACCACGGTAGAACCAGTGAACATGGAACATGGGCTCATTGCTGCTTACATCTTCCCACATGGCAGTGATCCTGGAAGGGCCAAAGCAGAAGGGAAAAGAAAATAGAAAATTGAGATTCCAGGGCAAAGTCTGTTCCAGAAAGATCACCTGCTGCTTGGAACCCATTTTTACTTTCCAAAAAACAAAACAAAAAACCCTACCAGGAAAGGAGGCCTGAAGGATCAATGCACGGAAGAAAACATGGGGACTGATGAATGAGGAAAAGGGATTACAGATTTCCTCTCCAGTGCTGGAGAATTCAGCAAACTACAGAAGGCCGCAAAATAATCAGTAAATTTTTTATTTTCAAAATCCTCATCAAGGCAGATCCAGAACTTACAACAGTTGCTTTTTTGGGCTATAGCCCCAAGCCATCAGGGACTACTTAAGTAAGTCTCTATGACTCCCAGACAGGGGTGACTTAAAGAATCTGGGGAGTCCTTTACCCAGGGTATGAAAAAACTCAAGTTCTAATTGAGGTCCGAGCACAGGAACCGCCCCCCCTCCCACTGGTTCTGAAAGGCACATGCTTATTTCCAAGCTGACACACACCTTGCCAGATAGAGCGGCTTTGTTGGATCATCGGGGCTGACGGAAACACAGTCGCCAATTTGCAAGGTCTCTGAATCAATGCACACCTTCTGGTAATAGTCCTTCTTCCCATCGCTCTGCAGATGGAAAAAAAGGAGGTGTGCTTATGAAGAAACAAACAACAGACATTGGCAGAACTCAAAAACATTACCTTTTGGGAGTAGAGCTCCCAGACAGGATAGAGAGTTCTGGGAGTTGTAGTCCAAGAGGAAGAAAAAACAGTATTTCCAAGCTGTGGTATAGCAGGTGTCTTGAAGACCATCCCCCATGCAACTGCACCACCAACAACAACCAACAACCCTTTAAAAGTGCAGTCACTGTTGATCTAAGCAACGCAACAAGAGACATCAGTCCCTATTGCACACTAGCTGGGAGACTAGCAATCCAGAGACAATGGAATACATGGTGCACTTCAGAGTACAAGACAGCATGTTATATTATATTACTCTATAAGAAAGCATACGGGGATGTTAGCTCCAAGGGACACCAATTCCCTCGCCCCTCCCTGCATAGGCACAGCATACCTTGACAGGCTGCCCCACCCAGGAAATTCGGCTCTTGCTTTGCTTCTTCTTCCTTCCTTGCAACATCTTTTTCGGGGAGGGTATTTCAGGAATGTTATCATCAACTTCTTCGTCTTCGTCAGCTTCTTTTACAGCCAGGTTGGGGCATCTAAGACCAAGTCAATAAAAGTCCCAAATGTTGAGAAATGAAAACCTTTCGAGTTCAGTGTCTCCCTAACATTGGCCGCCCATGAAAAAAAACAATCCCCTTCAGCCACTTGTTCACGTTTTGCAAGCCGATTTTTAAAACCACAGCATACCAACAATAGAAATCGGCCAAGATCATGCAAATCGAACCAAGCCATTCGCCTATTTCATCTTATTTTTACAGCGGTTCCCCATGCTTTATAGTATCTGTTGTCATTACAATGTTCTGTGGACACGGGTCAGCATCAAACACTTGCCCCAGTTCTTTCAGGCCACAGATCAGACTCTTGTTGTCATTACAGTGTTCTGTGGAACGTGGACATGGGTCAGCGTCAAACACCTGCCTCAGTTCTTTCAGGCCACAGATCAGACTCTTGCTCTTAAAAGGAAAGTACAATCAAAATGTTTCAAGCTGCTGTTCTTGTGGCCCATTAATAACTAATGGAGTCAGAGGGGCTCTGCAGAACCTGACCTATCAAAAGAAAGTTCAGAATTACCTCCTATGAAAGCAGGCTTGCTTGGTCTTCCCACTGCCACCAAACTTAATCATATCCTGGCAGGCTTTGCATTTGCCACATTCCGGCTGCTGGCAAACCTGGAAAAAAGATGTGTGTTTTTTTTAAAGGCGAAGGGTTGAAATTTATTTATACTTATTTGTTATATTTTCAGAGCATGCAATACCCAAAAAGATCTGTGCTGGAAAACTTGGCCATGGAGCCATGAGTTCAAATCCTCACTGTGCTTCCTGGAAGAAGGGTTAGCCAAGATCAGGTGTGGGATACGTGGCTTATGCCATTATGTGTCCTGCCAGCTGTGTGGCCTTGGGCAAGCCACGCAGCCCCATAGCACTGCAGCCCCGAAACTCGTAGATTAGGCTGCTGGTGCCCACCTGGTTTGTTTCAAAATAAAAAAGCAGCTCTTAAGCAAATCCCACATACATCTGACTTTAAATTTCACGTTGTATCCTGCAGCTGCAGAATTTGAGAAGGTCCTGGTTAGGGCAAGAAGGGTACTGAAAATATAAAATAGGTTGGAGGGGAATGCTACCGAGTTGTGGGGTTTGGCAGGATAAGAGATCAGAAAGCTACAGAAGACATGGAAGCTTCGTTCTCTGAACCCTGGGCAACACTGTGGAATCGTTCCCTCCTGGCAGGGAAAAAGGGCGTTTCATGGCATCGGGGCAGACCCCCCACATAGAGTTACCTCGCAGACTCCGCAGCGCCTGCGCTTGTTTGCATTCTCTTTGTCCTGCTCCTTTTCGGTCTTCTCTATTTGCTCTGAGAAGAAAGTGTCAAAGATCAAGTAGACCAGCTTGGTGGTGGTGGCCTTCGTGGGGCCTTTATCCTTGTCAATCTTGGTGGGATGCCTAATGGCCTGCCTCCTTGCAGCACGCCTGGAAGGAAGGAAGGAAGGAGCGGTGAAAATCAAGGCACTGGCTGAATTTTCTCCTGGATGCAAGAACGCTGCCACAGTGGTGTGATGTCAGTATCCTAATAAAATAAGTACCCTAACAGACCACACAAGTGCCACACTTTTCCATCTACAAGTGGCTCTAGCAGCCTCTCCCAACCAGAGGACGGTCTTCTAGATATTTTGGACCTCATCTCCCAGAGGTCTCAGCCAATGTGGCCGACGGTCAGGAAATCCCAGGAGCTGGAGTCCAAAAACACTTGGAAGGCGTCAGGATAGGGGGGAGGTTCATCTGCAGTATTCCCCACCTCCATGCAGACAGAAGAAAGTTAATCCACTCATGTGTATCTTCTAACCACACCCAGCTGATCTGTGAAAGAGGAAGCAGTTCAGGGGTAGGGGCTGTGCTCTGCACATAAAAGAAAAGCATTCCCCAGATAAAACCCAGAAGAGCTGGAGGTACCAGGGGTTGGAGTCAGCCTAAGGCAGCCACTTTATTGTAACTTGGAGAGCCTGGTTGGGTGTCATTTGATAAAGCAAACCTTCCGTCAACTCATCAAACCTGCATTCTATATCTTGGGACTAATGCATGGCTAGCTTAATTTTTGGAATTCTCTCCTCCCTGCCCCTATATTTTCACAATGAAGAATTCTGAAGGCTTCACACTATTGTGTAATTGCAGCTGGTCTTAAAAAAGATACTGCCTGACCATTGATTCTGTCCCCCCCCCAACACTTCCCATTTGACTTCCATTTCCATTTCCTAACCATTCACAACAAACAGTGGTGTCCAGCTAGGCATGGTCCCTATAGTGGTGTTTGTGATACAGATGACCACAGCTCCTCCCATGGCAGAGGGGCTACCAAGATTTCAGCAACCCAAAGAATCCTTATACCCTAAAGTCACCCTGTGTTGAAACTAGCAGAAAGGAAAGGGAGATAGTAAGAACTCCCCTGATAAAAAAAAAATTAAAAAAAAATCCAGATGACTGGTGTAAACTCCTCCCTTCTCTGACCAGGTCAGCACGTTTCCACCTTGATAAGATAAGCTACTTCTAGAATAAAAGTTCTGTAAATACAGGCTCCAGTCTTGATCTGTCCTCTTGGCTCCCCCATTAAGTTGGTATGGTAACATTTCTGAAACTGCCTCAGCACTAATGGGAGTGGTATATACACTGAATGAATGAATGAACAAACAGAAATGTATTTCACGTCACAAACTTCCAATCTAATGCCTCTTTCTGGCCAGTCCTGCCTTGCAGCGATACTGTACCTTTTCCCCAGTGTGACTCCTGCCAGCTTAATCAGGTCCCTCATACAAGGCGTGATGAGAACTGGGGGCTCATCACTGTCTCCAGCTTCATCGTAACTTTCCACTTGCTCCACCACAAACTGGGCATGCCGGAGGAGAGAATCTTCTGTGAAACGGTTGAAATTCAACCCAGCAGGAGGGACAGTGGTCTGGACAGAATTTAAAAGAGGTAATAATTCGACTGCTTTCCCAAGAGGCAGCAAAGAAATCTATTGCTAATTTATTTAATGAAAATGAGATTGCAAGGACATTAGATTTTTCTATGGAAAAATGTAGCAGTAAAAATTGTTTCAGTAAGTGCATGAAAAGAACAACTTCAGCATTACAAATCAAAGATCCATCTAATCCTGGTGGAAAGGGAGGAAACATGTAGCCCCTTAGTGACAGCTGGCCCCATCTCTGCTGTCTTTCCGTAAGCAGGCAAAGACCCTTCTCTTCAGGCAGCTGTTCTCTTAGTGACTGGAAGTCCACATAGTTTTTTTTTTAATAGGATGGTTTGGGTTTGTATTTTTGTTGCTTTAAAATCTGTTTTGGTATTGTTTTTCTCTAATATTTTTAATATAATGTTTTTAAAATTATTTTTAAAGATTTACTTACTGTTTTTACGCTTTCAGTAATATCTTTTTAATGATATAAGCTGCATTGGGTCCTTTTTTTTAAGGAGAAAGGCTGGATAACAATATTTTCAAAGAAGGGAGGGAGGAAGTAATATATAGCCTCCCTGACTAACCTCTATTTTATTCAGCAAGTCCTCATAACTGACATCCGGGTTGTTTTGCAAGAACTCAACGACAATCTTGCTCATGTAGATCTTCTCCTGCATCAGGGCAAAGATGGGGGCATACTCCTCACTTGGTTCCATCAAGATGTAATCTGCAAAAGCTGTAAAGGCAAAGCATAGAGGCACCGTCTGGTGAAGAAGACTGAGATACATTGGCATCTCACGTATGCCTAGCCATGAACCAACTGGACTTTCAGGCGACCTAAGCACCAACACTTAAGGATGCAAGAACTGCCTTCGTGAATCAGACCGAAAGACCTGTTAAGTCTGGTTTTCCATTTCCAAAAATAGACAGACATGTAGAAGCTGTCCTCCATCCCTGGGAAGAGCACAAGCCAGGCTTACAGATTTTGCCCAAAAGTCTCCTCACGGTGTGACACCATCCCCGGGTACTTCAAGATACACTGGCCTCTGAACATGGAGGCTCTACTGATAAGAGATCCTCTTCCACACATTTTAAATACGACAGCAGGGGTATGAAAACTGACTGGATTCCAACCCCTCTAAGGCCCAGTCAGCAGAGCAAGGATGAAGGGAGCTTTAATGCAACAACATCTATAATGCTGTGGATCTCAACCCTGGCCATATGAATTACTGGCCCACAGGTACATCAGCACAAACCAATTTTGCAACTGAATTCCACACTGAGTAAAAGAACTTCTCTCCTGCACAGGAGACCTCTAAATTAATTTAACGGGGTGACACTTGAATTCTAGTACAAGAACAAGAGGTTAATCGAGGAGTCTTTCTGTTCATTCAGCAAGGCCATGTTTTCCTTTGTGGATGTTAAGGACTCAAATTAGTTTGTGGGTATGGCAGGCAAGATCGTCAAAGCAAGGAAGGACGGCTTCTGGCATTCTGCTCATTGAGCTTTCCCAAGAAAATTCACATGGGCCTGCCATTCTGCCACAGCCTCTGCAACTGGGCTCCTCCTGGGAGTCTCACCTGGAAGCACCACTAAGCCTGACATTGCGCCCTGGAAGAAACCCTGCGTTAGCTGCTTTCTTTACAGCTGCTTTAAGAGTAAGAACAGGGGACTCAGAAGGCGTCTGCGCTGAAGGCCACAACCCACAGGAACGTCCTCCTAGAATGTCCACAACTCGTAGGCAATTAAAACAAAGTTGCGTACACTCCAAAATCCAGAAAGGAAGACTTTAACCAGCAGCAGAGCTGCACAAACAGGTTCTTAGCCAGTACATGGACAAATTCTTAGTTCACATATTTTCATGTGTCATTTTATGTTTGATTTTCTGGTCAATATTGTAACATCAAGCATCTTTGTGAGTTTAGGCACACCCTACCGGGAAGCTCTGCACAAACTTCATAAACAGCAATCTGGCAATACCTCCCATTCATTTTAGGTAGCTTATATAAGGCCTCTGCCCTGTGTGCTGTGGCCTTGTATGGAAATCATGCTAGCAAAATCACATTATCTACCAAGTGACTAAAATAAATTGTTACATATTCAGCCATTTGAGAATGTTAGGTTTGCCTTGACCCTGGTTATTGGTTTTTCTTTTGCTTTGCTTTCTTTTGGCTGCTGTGCCCACAGATATAATGGCTAGACGATGTGATCCTGCTTGCAACTCTCCTACAAAGTAGACATGTGAAGTCCAGTGGCATGTGTTTTGCACTGGCTAAGGAACCAAGCAAAACACTTCAGAATTCTGGTATCATGGATTTTGGAGGGTTGTTTAAGCTCCATTAGAGCCTAATGGGATGCTTAGGACAGGCTCAATTACATCCCCCGAAAGGAAGAGGAATGGCATGTAGCACATCTCCTGTCCTCTTATTAATGCACAGTATTTAATACAGAGGTAGATAACATGTAGCCCTTATGGCACATATAGCCTCTATTGACATCTTTGCATCGTCCCATCCTCGGCCTCCAAGTACCCTAAACTTCTGGGTTTGTTTTTGAAAAGTTAATTGATGCTCATAAAGTCACTCTGTTTTCTGAATTGGGACGTGGTGGCGCTGCGGGCTAAACCGCAGAAGCCTGTGCTGCAGGGTCAGAAGACCAGCAGTCATAAGATCAAATCCACGCGATGGAGTGAGCTCCCGTCGCTTGTCCCAGCTCCTGCCAACCTAGCATGCAAATGCAAGTAGATTAATAGGGACCACCTCGGTGGGAAGGTAACAGCATTCCGTGTCTAAGTCGCACTGGCCATGTGACCACGGAAGATTGTCTTCGGACAAGCGCTGAGGCTCTATGGCTTGGAAATGGGGATGAGCACCGCCCCTTAGAGTTGAACACGACTGGACAAAAATTGTCAAGGGGAACCTTTACCTTCGGCTTCTGGCATTCTGCTCATTGAGCTTTCCCAAGACAGTCCACATGGGCCTGCCATTCTGCTACAGCCTCTGTAACTGGGCTCCTCCTGGGAGTCTCACCTGGAAGCACCACTAAGCCTGACATTGCGCCCTGGAAGAAACCCTGCGTTAGCTGCTTTCTTTACAGCTGCTTTAAGAGTAAGAACAGGGGACTCAGAAGGCGTCTGCGCTGAAGGCCACAACCCACAGGAACGTCCTCCTAGAATGTCCACAACTCGTAGGCAATTAAAACAAAGTTGCGTACAGTCCAAAATCCAGAAAGGAAGACTTTAACTAGCAGCAGAGCTGCACAAACAGGTTCTTAGCCAGTACATGGACAAATTCTTAGTTCACATATTTTCATGTGTCATTTTATGTTTGATTTTCTGGTCAATATTGTAACATCAAGCATCTTTGTGAGTTTAGGCACACCCTACCGGGAAGCTCTGCACAAACTTCATAAACAGCAATCTGGCAATACCTCCCATTCATTTTAGGTAGCTTATATAAGGCCTCTGCCCTGTGTGCTGTGGCCTTGTATGGAAATCATGCTAGCAAAATCACATTATCTACCAAGTGACTAAAATAAATTGTTACATATTCAGCCATTTGAGAATGTTAGGTTTGCCTTGACCCTGGTTATTGGTTTTTCTTTTGCTTTGCTTTCTTTTGGCTGCTGTGCCCACAGATATAATGGCTAGACGATGTGATCCTGCTTGCAACTCTCCTACAAAGTAGACATGTGAAGTCCAGTGGCATGTGTTTTGCACTGGCTAAGGAACCAAGCAAAACACTTCAGAATTCTGGTATCATGGATTTTGGAGGGTTGTTTAAGCTCCATTAGAGCCTAATGGGATGCTTAGGACAGGCTCAATTACATCCCCCGAAAGGAAGAGGAATGGCATGTAGCACATCTCCTGTCCTCTTATTAATGCACAGTATTTAATACAGAGGTAGATAACATGTAGCCCTTATGGCACATATAGCCTCTATTGACATCTTTGCATCGTCCCATCCTCGGCCTCCAAGTACCCTAAACTTCTGGGTTTGTTTTTGAAAAGTTAATTGATGCTCATAAAGTCACTCTATGCTTTCTGAAAGGAAATGCACTTTTTAAAAACATTAATCCTGCTTCCTGGTTAACAAAAACAAATCGTCACAACCCTTAAGAGTATATAACCATTACTTAAATTTAAAAAAAATTAGATCCATTCTCTTGGGAGTACACCGTTTGAGTTGCTGACAAATCTGAAAAACGATCCTCAGCCCTGCTGCGATCACCCACCCAATGTAAGATCAATATGTTGTCAGGCTCCATTAATGACATGGTTCTTTTCCAGACGTCTAAATGAGCTTACCTGTGGTAAAGCCAATCAAAGCCCTTTCCCCTCCGTCAAAGCCCGTAATCCACCACGCGTTGATGGGGCCCATCTTTCTGGCTCGGACACCACCTAGATCAGTGACAGGACAAATGTTATGCACATGCATGTCTTCCTGAGTAAGCACCAGCAAGTATTTGTCTTTGAAACCGCTTAAATTTGCCACACCATCTGTGCACGAGTTCTGAATTAAGTCCAGTTTGGAAAGCAACACACCCATGCCTGGACTGAGCCATCGCTTGCTTCTCCTGGAAGTCTAAAGACACAGGAGCTACATAAGTGCTTCCTTTTTCATCAGTCCCCCCCCCACAGTAGTAATGGAGTGAAGACAAAAAGCTGGATTCTATAACCCTGTTCTGAAAGAAACCCAGGCCTCCTCTATTTAGGAGCAGACAGTGTTTCTCCTAATAAAGCAACAAGCAAGCAGAGCACTGGTGACTTCTGAGCTCTTGACAGGATAAATGGAAGTTCCTGAATAGTCGACAAAACTGTTATGGCAGGGAAGGACAAAGCATGTTCTTCCAGACATTGGTGGACTGTAAGTAACTCTTTATGACCAGCACTCCTAGTGGTGAGGGATGCTGGGTGTTGCAATCAAAGAGTATTCAGAGTAACACATTTTGGCTATCTCTATGTTATGGGATGACAGAAGGTGGAAGGCACATTTCTTTAGATCCTCAAGTCTGGAAGAAAACTGATTTCTCAAAAGAGATACCAATTCAGAATTAACAGTGCTATCTGGTGTAACATTTACAGTGACACAAACAGGGATACTGGTATATGAATACGAATATCCCCATCTCTATAGTCGCAGGCTTAGGCAACCAACTTGTTAACTCACTCTCAGGCCACCAAAACAGCCCAACAGACATCAGGGCTAAGATCTGTTTTTCCTACAAGCTGAAACAAGGAGGCCTCAAAGAAAACCCACCTGCAAGTCCGCACTTACCATCCAGGCAAGGGTTATCATCATAGATCGGCTTCACAGCACCACTGAAGTACAGTTCAATGTTCCTTTCTATGAGGCCAGTATCGAATGGGCACAGGTGACCTTTCCGATCATAGACACTGCACAGAGAAGGAGAGGTTTTGCTTCCTGAGCCAACGCAGAATTCCTGCCTCCCATTAATATACAACACAACTGTTCACACACTGCATGTTAACTGGTCTGAAGCTCAAGCCCGACAAGAACTGAAGATTTTGGCTGAGAAGAATCTGCTGAATTTGATTAGAGGCAATCCCATCGCTCTCTGACCGGGGCTGTGCCCTACCCACCTCACAGCTTGGGGATCCTTCTGGACATATTATTGATGGTAGAAATAGAGGTGAGACCAGCAGGTGAGAATAGTAGTTCCCTATTATGCTTGGTACACCACTATAACTCATCCAAAGGACCTAATTTCAGTCAAACTAGACCACCGTAATTCTGTGTCTACAGGGATGCCTCTAAAGAAAAATAGCTACAGAAGGCATCCTCTTCTGTCCTTGCCAGGCACAGCTGGATCGCATGACATCAGTTCTACACCAGATGCATTCACGGCCAGAGCACTTCCAAGCCCAATTCAAAGGGACACTATCAGTCCTCAATATTTCTGAATGATTTCTGTCCAGCTTATCTGAAGGGCCACATGCACCTGTATATAGCTGTTTGTGGTTTAAGATAATCTGTAAAGACCTGACTCACTCATCTGCTACCAAGATCAAAGCAGTTGGAAGGCGCTACCGAGATGGCCTTCTACCCTGCAGAATTCTCTCTCGAACGATGTACCTACGGCTGCAGTTAAACATGCTTTAAACAACAACAACAACAACAACCCTCTTCTCTCTGGCCTTTAACATTTACTGCTATTAGGTATTTGAAGCGAATTAATTTTATTTTTAACTTTAAATATCACACATTGTTTGCCACTCGATGGTGCTATTTTATACTGCAAACCGTCTGTGACAAGGTCCTTCACTGGCCGGGGGTGCACTGGTGGTAAAGGCGGGAAAGAGACGCGGGGGCTGGCCTTGTTCTTCTAAGTCAACTTTTTTATTTGTAATGGACCTCAACTCAACAGCATCAAATGGGTCCAATAAACAGTCATCTGTTAACAGCTTGTATTTCTTGGATCTCACAACCGTAGCTCTTTCGGGTTCCCCTAAAAGGGAGCGGGACCGAAACGCTCCCGATCCGTCAAAGGTCGCAATGGGGTACTCCGAACCGCGCATACTGTCCCGCAGCACAGGTGCCTGGCCCAGTCTCCCTCCAGAGGCTTCTGTTGGTATGAAGGGCCAGGGCGAATCACCCTCCGTCCACCAGGGCGATTCCGCGGGTACACCACTACCGTCCATTCTAGAGGGTCGTACCCTCACCCCCTTCCTCCAGACACTAATGGAGCCGGCAATAACCCCCCTCCCAGCTGTAAATTGGGAAAGTCTCTTACAATACCCGACGCTTCTCCCGAAAAGATCATGGGCTCGGTTTGGACCCCTCTCTCCCCAAACCTTCCCAATTCTCCGTCAGTTGTCGATCTAAAAACGCGCGCGCTTTCACTCTCCTTTATGTCCTCCCACAGAATGAGGTCTAGCTCCACCCCTTCTTCGTCCGCTAGACACACTTCCGTAGACTTTCCAGCCCCTCCTTCTGTTGGCTCTAGTTCAATTAATATACCCTCCACACAACTACTTCCTTCTACAATGTTCTCTTTCATAGAGGACGGCACACTTTTCTCCACGCCTTTACACCATCTTAGGGAGATCCTAACCTTGACTATGAAATATATTCAATCAAGGAATAACAGAAATAAATGGAGGCCAATCCCAGGATCAGGGCTTTTACTGCTTCTGGTGGGGAATGGCAAAGGAAGCAGTGACAGCAAGAGAAGAAAAGCAGGGGAGCAAAAATGCTCAGGCACATGACTGGAGGCTCACTTTGGAGAACCCAGGAGGATTTGTCTTCCCCTATGGAAACCCTCTGGACACGATCCAGCCTTCCACTTGCAAGCCAGGCTCTCCCCCCCCTTTGGAAGAATGCACTCAGCAGGGCTCTATCTGCCATAGCTGGCAGTAGTAGAGATCCTAAAAGGAGCCCCTTTTATTGCATTCCTTCCCTGCTGAGTCTCCTCTTATGGCCAAAAAGATGAGAGAACTGCTCTCTTTTTTTGTCATAAAGTGTAAGCAAAAAATTAGACAGAACAAAAAACGTACAGGGCAAACAGGGCACGTGCAGTTATGTCCTTAACACTCTGCTACAAGAGCCAAACATCCCATCTAGCTCCAGTTCTCCAGCTGTACACCCAAGGGGCCCTCCAACAAGGCTGGGAATGTCTGGACGTAGGACAGAAACTGTTATGTCTTAAACAGTAGCACCTGAATTAGTGGCTTCGTGGCTCCGGTGGCTGCATAAGCAGCTCCTGATGCTGCTGCCATCCTCTGCCCTAAATTTTTCTTCACTCAAAACAGCATCTGCAGCCTGAGTGGATTTCAAGAACAATCCCTGCCAGTCTTGTTGCATATCTTATGGGGAGCCTAAGCACCCTAAAAACAAAGGGTCAGGTGGTACCTTTAAAACTAACTGATGAATTACAAGGTGAGTTTTGGCACACGTATAGCCCCTACGTCACTGGGCACGCACGCACGCACACAGAGGTAAGGGCTCAGCCACTGTACTATGCCTCTTTTCATTGCTTACTTGCTCGGTGCCTCATTATCTAGTACAGCAAATATGAAGCACACTGCCACAAGCAGTCTCTGAATCGGAAGAAAATGGACGTTACAAGATGCTTTTTGAGCAAGAACTTCTTCTTCCCATTCTTAACGCTCCTCAGCCCCCCTTCCTGTCTTATTGCTCTAGACATTAACACTGAAGGACAGAAAATGAATATTTAGTTCCTTCGTCCTGCTGCTGCTGCTGTTATCCTTGACCTGTTTGGCATCTCTGAAGGGAGGGAGGAAGGAAAGCTGGGGAAAAAATGACATTTGGTCGCTCCAATCAAATTGGGCTTTACAATGAATCAGCATGGAGCTTCACCTGAAGGATGTCACTTTGTGCTGCGGCAGATCTTCGTAACTCTCAAATCCATCTTCATTAGCATCAAAAATGGACAAGCGTTCATCTGTCAGCATTTCTGGTTCATCCAGCTAGGAAGACAAAAGATTTTGTCTTTAACCTTGGAGGCACACCACTGAGGCGGAGTACTCTCCTCTTTCAGTGCCCTAGGTTAACTTACCGCATCATCAGGATCTCCCTGGAAGAACTTCAGCTCAGGGTCATCCAAGTACTGTCGGCATTCGGCACACTTGGGAGGGGTTGTCTGGAAGGGAAAGACATGGCAAGGGTCCATCAGCTCATGTGATTTGTCCAGAACCAAGAGCTGTACGGGAACTGTCTCATCAACTAGAGACCTGTTGCTAAAACATTTTGGTTGCATGCAGTTAATACACCATGTAGTATTAGCTGTATCTTTTCAGTTCTTAAATGGGGTGGGCAATGTCCAGAGGTGCGTAGGCAGCACCCCGCCCATCCCTGCATATTGAAAAGCCACCGTATTGCAGTACCCCCCACCCCCCAAGAATTCTTCCAAAAGCTAAACTGAAAATGCCCCTTCACCATCGAGTGGCCTACATCCCAAATTTTATTTTACTTTAATTGTTTTAAAACACACACAACACACACACACTCTCTTACTTAATTTAATGTCCTGGAATGACATATACGGCCCACATGGCTTTGATGTCAAAAGCCCCAAGCAGACTCAAATTCATGAGGCTTAAGAAATATCCCATGTTATTCTGTTTCTTAAAGTCAGGAAATGAGAGCAAAGAGATGGTGATGGGGCAAAGCTACCGAGGTGTATATGGACTCACTTCTCCCCACTTTTGACTTCTGTACTCATGATTGTTCTATAACATCTGAAAGCCAAAGAAGTGTCTTTGCTTGAAAGACAGGTCATAAAGAGGGCTACAGCACAGATGTCCGTGGTTTTAGCCAAATTTAAAACAACAACAACAACACACAAAGCAAATGCATACTTACTTTAACAGGTGGCACAGTTTTAACCTGGGTTGCTTCCTCTTTTATCTCAGACCTGGATCAAAAACAACAACCCATAAAATGATACACGTACGCGCGTGCGTGCGTGTGGTTACTGTATATTATTGCAATTTTACTGCATGTGGTTTTCAGCTGTCTCATAAGTCACCTTGGGGGCTCTGGCAGCCAAGCGCCAGAATATAAGCCTTCTAAATAAATATACACACACAATACAGACTTTCATGTACAAAGCAACTTTCATGTTCAAAGAAACCAAGGGCTGCAAGGAAGCAGATTTCTAGCCTTTATACATCCTGAACTGTTCCATTTCGACAGTCGTTTGTGCCTTTTAATATATTTCTTAAAGAAAGATCTAAGTGATAAGAATAGGGTGCAGGGCAAAGCATCAATCGATGCTAGGCTTCCAGGTGCTTAGCATTCAAACTTTAATCAGAGCAAATGCATCTTAAAAGACCATCACTTCTCCTAGCCTGCTGAGTTCTAAGTGCTCTCCATCTGTTAACTATGGTGAAGAGACAGGGTTGCAACACTCCCGCGTCCAGCTTGCTCTCCTTTGCTGTGTCAACTCTCATAGCTATTTGAAGCTAACACTGGTTCCAGCTTTCACTGCAAGACAACCCAAGTTCAACGATGCCTGAGGTCTCTTTGTTTCTACATGTTTCTTTCTAGACAGGCAAAAGGGGTTACACTGCTGTCAAATTGCTTACAATAACAAAGTCGTCCTTTACTCTTTCACACAAGTAGCTGTCCCCGTCGCTACTTTTATTTTTTTAAAAAAGAACATGATGTTTTAGGTAAACGTAAACTCCCAGGCAAAATATCCACTGTATCTATGCCGCTGAATGGGGCTGAATCAGCAGCTAGACCAGCTATAAGGGGGTCCAATTCAAAGACAGGGAGGGATCCTGAACCTTTAAGAGTTCTGTAGTAAAGACCATTTCCACAGACATCCACAGCGCTTCTATGTTCTATGCAGTGAAGGGTCATTTTCCATAGCATAAGCATATCATCTGTGTTTATTTTTTATAAAATTTATACCCTGCCCCTCTAGACCATGTCTACTGCTTTACATACCAATCCAAAAATCATACAGAGAACTGCCTTAGAGACAACTGGCCAAATTCTTGTTGCCATTTTATGGTGGCAGAATGCAAACAGCATTAAACTTTGGATGATGAATGGCTACAATCTAACAAATCAGCACAGGTGTCACTTGTGCAGTGGGTTGCGTGACTCCGCGTGCAACCAATCATGGCTCTGCTGAGTTTTTAATTTGCAGCAGTTTGTTGCCACAAACTACACCGTTGTGTTTGACTCCCGGATGTATTTATTTATTTAATTTATTTATTGCATTTATACCCCGCCTATCTAGTCGAACGACCACTCTAGGCGGAAAGAGAGAAGATACGTACCCAACAGGATCATGCCACTGTGTCTTTGTGCACTTCTATAAACAGTTATGTCCCTTGTTGGCAAATGTACAAGGGACAAATGTTTGTCAGATTATACCGAGCACGTAACTTACCCTTCTTTGGTTTCCGTTTTGATTCTTTTCTCATCTTGCTCCTTGAGAGAGAAATGGAAAACAAACAGCACTGAGAAGCCTGCGACTTTCCCCCACTCAATCTTTCAAAATGAGGAGTAAACATGATTTTAGTAACTTAGAGAAGTTTGCCAGTCAGCATGTCCCCCCTCCTGAGGGGACAATACAGCAATATTATCTCAATTCGCAGTATGCATCAAAGAATTTGAAATACTGTGCACGTGTCAAACACTTTGGAAAAGATGAAAAGAAAAAAGTGAACTATTACAAAACCTTCTATATTGGCGTGTCCCCACATGCCTACCATTTCTCCAGGCAGCTCCTCTTCCTCTTCCTCCTCATTTTCGACATTAGCCTCTTGATTCAGCTCCCCGTTCACCTCTCCAGATTTGCGTTTGTTGGACCTAGCAAGATCAACCGTAAAGTGGATTTCTTAGAGGAAGTTAATTCAACAGGTTTTTCATTTTACTTCAAGTGAAAAACAATTTAAGGAGAAAACGAAATGGATATTAATTTTGCAAAAGCTAGAGTAACTATACCACAGCTAACTGATAAGGTGCCAGGGCATAGCTCAGTTCTGCGTCTGTGCTTGTGGGCAGGCAAATGACCGATACTGACCCTGACTTCTTGTTAATTAACCATGGCAAATTACACAAAATGTATACAAAAAACCATAGGACTCTGGCCAAATTATGCTCAGGTTAAACAACTTACTGTGAATAGCAACAGATACTTGGATATTCCATTTGATATCATTTTTTCTATTGCTTGCCCTGCAAAGACTGACATAAAGGTCATGTTTGACTGGATAGCTCTTAAGTTCAAACATGTGCCCAGGCAAGGATTTTGAAGGGGAAAGTCAGAAACTCAGTTCCTGCTTGGAAGGAGAGAAGATGCCATAAAAGAAGAGTCCTCCAGGACCCTGTTAAGAGACCAAGATTGGAGGAAGACACGATCTTTTAGCTAGGGAGTTGGAACATCTTGCCTTTTAGATGTTTCAGACTTCAGTTCCCAGAAACCCCACATAGCACAGGCAATGGAAAGGACTAGGTTCAGAAAGGATATACAGTACTGTACCAAAGGATTATGTCCTGTCTTAGTTGCACTTTTTTACATGGTGTGGGGATTTCACTGTGTTTGGGAAGCAGAGAGCACGGTCAGGAGGCCATAATCTCGTCACGCATCTGGACTCCAAAGTGTAATACAGTGGTGCCTCGCATAGCAATCGCTCCGTTTTATGGCGAAATCGCTTAGCGACACTGTTTTTGCAATCGCCAAAGTGACTGCTTTGCGATGGTCCCTATGGGTGAATTTCACTTTGCGATGATCACAGGGAAGCGATCATCACAAAGCCCCCATTTTCGGCCAGCTGATCGGCGGTTTCAAAATGGCCGCTGGGTAAACAAAATGGCTGCCAGCTGTTTTCAGGTACGGATTCCTTGCTTTAGAGGCACCGAAAATGGTGGCGCTATGGAGGTACTTCACTTAAAGGTGAGTTTTAAGCTCATAGGAACGTATTAATCACGTTTTAATGTGTTTCTGTGGGCTTTTTATTTTCGCTTCGCGATGTTATCGCTTAGTAGCGATTTTTTCGGAACGAATTAACATCGCTAAGCGAGGCACCACCATAGTTCCCAGCTGAAACAGCAGACTAAGATGCATCCATTTTTTCCCCAGGAATTGACGATTCCATTAGCAGACGAGGACTAATCGTTACAATGCTGACAGGGCAAGATACCCTCTTGAAGGGGACCCTCTGGGCAGAAGTAATAGTGGAAAGTGACACGGGGAGAGGATATTTCCTAAACAATGGCCGCAACAACCAAGCTAACTCTCGTCAGAACTGTGCAGAAGGCAGCGATGTCAATGGCTTCCAAATGCTTTGTACAGTAACTGAAAACCCTGATAATGGGACAATACAAAATGAAACAAAGGAAACACTGGAAAAAGGGGCTTAGAAGGCAGGCACTCAGTTGGCTACCAGGGAAGAGCAAAGGACAAGTATGAACAACGATACCGCTAATGAAGCAACCAGATGAAACCAAAAGCACATCCAGTTCCTGCTGTGCACAAAATAAAAAGGGAAGGCTGATGCTCCACAATATATATAAATCAAATATGGAATGTGAGAAGCATTAATCAAAGTAAGCCTGAAATCGTAAAACTAGAAATGGAATGTTTAAATATTGTAATTCTGGGCGTCAGCAAGAAAAGCTGACTGGGATAAGATAGTTTCAGTCCAATAAATATAGAACATTTTAGTCTAGAAACAACAAGCTCAGAAAAAAATATGGCTTTATCAGTGAGGCAAGATGTAGCACAAGTAGCTTGAAGCCATAATGTGAAGTCCAACCAAATAATATCAATCAGACTTCATGGAAAGTTTACAAGCATAATGCTTATTTAAGCCTATGCTCTAATTATAGATGCTGAAGAAGAATATGGAAACTCTTATGCAAGGGCCCAAGAAGAAATTGATCACATACCAAAACAGGATGTACTGATAATCACAGGTGACTGAAATACAGAGGCAGAAACATATAGTACAACCAAACAATGTTGGGGAGAATTTGGCCCAAGAAATCAGAAATGAAGCAGAAGAGTGATTCAAAGAATTCTATGAAACAAACATTTGTTTATTGCAAGCACATGCTTCAGGTAACCTAATACTGTAGATGATTGTAAACACAGACATCCCTAGACAGCCCATAGAGAAACTGAACATATGGTATAACTAAAAGCAGAAAATGGAGAAGATCTATTCTCTCTGCAGAAACAAGATCAGGAGTGAACTGTGGTACGGACCATGAACTGTTAATATGAAAAACCTGAAGAATAATTATAATGCTAAAATAAAACTTAAATAATCAAAATAACATTCTGGAGAAATTTAAAGGTCGCATAAATGACTAAACTCAGTAGGGTCTGAACAGGAAAATCTGTGAACTGAATCCGAATATATTGTCAGGGAAAAATGCAAAAAGATTATTTGTGCAGTCAAAAGGAAAGAATAATGGATGTCTGAACAACAAGTGAGAAGCAAAAGAAAAGGTGATAGGTCAGGGAGATCAGAGCAACACAGACTATCAGTCCAGTAGTGAATCTGTACATCTCTCTGACGTACACAACAACTCTGTTAGGTAGATTAGGCCAAGAAATGGTCCCTTGATCTCAAAACCACTGCACAGTGGGACATACATTACATTAAAAAGCACATTTGGAGCTTCATGCAGGGAAAATAAGGCTGGGGGAGGGGGGGAGGCAAGCAGCAGAGCAAGGGATCTCAAAGAAAGAGGAAGGGTAAGAATAACCATCCATTCCATCTCCCATTCCTTTCTCCGGCAGCTGTTTCCTCTTTATTTATTTTTGTAAAGAGCCTGGGATCACACATTTGCACGCCATGTGCTGTCCACTCTGACATTTTGCCACTAAGTGAGGCTTCACAATGTAAGACCACAACAGACCAGTTGTGCTGGTTCTGTAATAATCGGGGTCTGTTTTCACCCATTCCTCGACCAAGCTTGGAAAGGCTGTTGCTACTCCAGCTTCTTATGGCGACTCAGCAGTGGCTCCACTAGGCATAGGAGTGAGAAACCTCGGGTCAGCAACAATTGGGTGGTACCCGGTCCTATGGATGTCCTTTTCCCAAATGGGAAATGACCCTCTCTGGAATGACCCTCTTAGCGGCAGGAGAAATCCCCTTGTGCAAAGAATGTAAGAAGCCATTACAGACGGTTTCCTAGAACCCCCAGGAGAATCCAGGCTGCTGGACACTGGCCACGGCCTTTTTTTGCCCCAAGGCAGCCTGCCTGTTGCGGTTCTTCATCAAAGCCGTGTAACCCCTCTCTGCCTCTCCACACCCACACTGCCTGTCTAGTAGGCTCACTAGTAGCCACCTGAAATTCAAAGAAAGAAAGAACAACCACTGACAAAGTTGATAAAGAAGAGGCACAGGGGGGGAAAGAAATGAACACACATCTTACAAAAAAGGTGTTCCCGCCCAATTTATGTCCGGTGTTACTCACCCTTTGGAAAACATGGTCAGGATGGTAGGCTGCCTGCCAGAACTACGGGTGATCCTTGAGCTGTTTGGGGTTTCTGCAGATTAATTAAAAACAGGTACACGTACAGTTGTAGTTGCTAGGCATGCAGGGTGGCTGCTGCTTTTAACATCCTTAAAGCAATTTTTGGTCCCAACCCTGCTTGCCACTGCCTTGCTTCAAACAGAGCCACCTTTCACCACCTCCTATACCTCCAGTACCTGACTATGACTGGAGAGAAAGACGCCTGCTTACACACAGCTTGCTACCACGGCCTAGGACAGAAGTGAGCAAAGTGCAGCCCTCTAGATGGGGTTGGCAGCTCCCATCAGCCAGAAGCCAGGGATCCCAGGAGCTGCAGTCCAGCCACACCTAGAGGGTTAACACTTTGCTCCTCCCAGTCCGGCCATCTGTGCTCATCTTATCCGCTCCTTAAGGAGGGGATTGGGGGGCCAGCAATAAGAAGCAACAGTAGAGCATTGAGAAAAGGGTAGGGAAAGGGGGCTCCTGGCGCAACAATGGAGGCATCCCTGGGACCCCAAACTGTTGTTGGCCGCCGAACGGAAGGAGAAAGCAATTTCTTCTCCTCACCTCTTTCCACCACATCTGTTGCTAGGGGCGGAATGTCTTTTCCTTAACATCCAATTTTCTGTAATTCCTAATTACAGCCATTCACGGGGGGTGAGGGAAGGCTCCAAAGTCCAGCCCAGGCACATCCCCATGTTGGTTGTTTGAAAACCATGCCTCATGAACGTGAAGAAAGCTCCACTGTCTTTCCCTTGGAGCAACTTTTAAGATGCTGTCCACTTACAGCAGTGTGGACAATCCCCCCCCCTTTTTTTCCCTGATGAGGACAGTACCCCCTCAAGGATATTTTGTCTGGGGCTACACTGAAGACTGAAGCCAATGGAAGACAGGGCCAAACCCCACAAAACAGACAAACGCTGTCTTCTCGCCTCTCTGCTTCTGACACCCTCTTTCCTCTCTCTGTCGCTCCCTTCTCCTCCTCTGCTTCCTCTTCCTCCCCCAGCAGTCAGCAACCTGAAACAACGACCTGCTGAGGGCTTTTCAACACAGGCCAAGATCCCTGGAGTGTAGTTCAAGAGTCACGTGAGGGACCAGGGCTGCCGTCTCCTCATTCCCTGTTTAAGGTGTTCGCCTAGAGCCAGATCACTGGAGCCTCCCACGTGCTTTCAGTAACAGCCCTCAAACGACTTCTTACTTCTGTTCTCACTGTTGGACTTGCTCCTCCTGCCCCTGCGAGCTTTATGTGCTGACGGCGAGGCCAACGGCGTTGAGCAGGAGGACGAAGCTGCCTCTTCCACCTCCATGGTGCTGTCCTCTTCACCCTTGCCGCCTGCGCTCTCTGGCTCCTCTTCACTACCATAGGCACCGTTTTCTGCACAGCCGTTGGCTTTCTGGCCAAGCTCCAGGTTATCTCCATTTTCTAATGCAAGTTCCTTGTGGAGCAGGGCTTTCACTTTGGCCAGGTACCGTTCCTGCAGCAGGATGAAAAGACCAACTGGCTAAGCAGATATGGTATCAGCACATCTACAAATCTGGCGGAGAGGAGGAGGTATCAGACAGATACGACCGGTAAGTCATGGTTGCTGAGAACCCACCTTCTAATTCTACAAAAATCCTCTTTAGCTGCACACTGGGTCTCCCAATAAGCCCAAGGTCCAGGTGACCATGTACACTTGCGTCTCATGGTTTTCGGCTCTCAAATTATGAATATTCATGGCTGTATCGGTTTTTAGTCTCAGGCGAACATTGCCAATAACCATCAAATCCCCTGATTCCATAAAATTCAGCACACTTTGGCTCCGTCATACACCTGCAGTGTGCTTCCCTAACCCTTGCAGAACACAGTGTTAGCCGGCTGCACACAAACATCTATGCGCAACTATGCCATGCCTACGTAACTTATTTGTGTTCTTTTTAACAAGATGATTTCCCTGGATGGGGTGTCAAATCTGCACATTTACATGTCAGTTCACACCAATGATTCGAATTCTACACCAGATTTACATACACAAAAGAGGAATCATGAAAGTCGCCTTGGCTAATTGATCACGTCTCAGTTGTATGTCAGTCCCATGCCTGGTCAAATGCTCAGCTGTGTAGCAATCACAAGCCTGAAACCTTGTCAATTAACTGCAGCCAGTTCTGTGATTTCTCCTGCCAATACATCTGTTCAGTATCCTTTGTTATGTACACAGAGTAAAATAGTCAGAAGTATGTCATTCTGGCAGTAATGACACTTTGTTTTAAAACAGAATACGGTACAACTAAATTATCGTTCCAATCCCAATACAGCTTTTCACAACTGAAGAGAACATTTCTGTAATGATTTTTTAAAGGATGCAAGCACCTTTTTTTTAAAGGGTGTGAGTGCTTTTAAGACTAACAGACTTACTTTATCACAAGCTCTCATGGGTTTTAACTGACTTCCTACGATGCACAATACTCAAGTTTAGCGTACATGCATGGAGAGGGAACATGGTTGTCTAGGTGGGATGAAGTGTAAAGTGGTAAACAGCAAAAGATTACTGTATAATGGTTGTTGTGGGTTTTTCGGGTTCTTTGGCCGTGTTCTGAAGGTTGTTCTTCCTAACGTTTCGCCAGTCTCTGCGGCCGGCATCTTCAGAGGACAGGAGTAGCACGCCAAAGAACCCGAAAAACCCACAACAACCATTAGATCCCAGCTGTGAAAGCCTTCGCGAATACATTGATTACTGTATAATTAATGCTTGTCATAATTCTTCAAGTGGTTGTTTAGCATATATATCCTGCAAGTAAAATGATTAAGTAATAGGAAGCCTTTGACTTCCTCACCCTCTTCTAACAGAGTGGGTTAACTCCTGTTGTTTAGCATAATACAGTAAGTAACTAACACTACAGTAGGTCCATTGAATCAGTGGAGATTTAGTGAGCCAACTCCGCCATAGGTTCTTGACATCAAATGGACCCACTGTAGTTGTGACTTACTATGATAAAGTACTACTCCTAAAGGCTTGCTACACTTAGCAACAAGATTTTAGCCAGTGGCAGTAAAATAACTAAAGGATACCATCAACATTAGCATAAACGGTTTTTTTAGTTCCATAATAATTTGTTTTTAAAATGCCATTATCCATATAAGAGATGTTTTTGTTTAGGAAAATATTGGATGTACAAATAGTAAACCTCTTCAATGATTTCAATAAGCGATCAGCCTTTCCCCTTAAACATTTAGATCAATCCATCCTGCTGTAAAATTTTGAATGTTTTAATTGGCCTTAAAACAGAAATGATTCATTGGCTTTCTTTGAAGGAGAAATATGGTTTAGCAGCACTTCTTGATGTGTGCCTAGCAGGTAAAGCTGACAGTTTGAATTCCAGGAGTAAAACTAAATGTGCTGACAATAATAGGATAAAATACAGGAATACCAAATTATTTCAAATTCCTTAGATTGCTACCACTTTACAGAATGTACATTTCATAATGCTCACTTTGGGACATTCCGGATGGATAGAAAGGGCTGCTTACAAGGAAAAAGCACATAAATCAATTCAGAGTTCTCAGCCCTGAATTACTGCACCTTGCATTCAGAGTAGCTCCATTTCCAGACCTTTAGTTGTATCCACGTTGCCCCTCCTACTGCCTAAATGGGATGGAGAGTGTGTGATTCTTCTGCAGCTCCTGCATGCCCTCAAAATCTGCTTCAGATGGTAGGAAACCCTCTAGAAGAGATTTTGGAGGGCACGAGAGGCTGCAGGAGACAAGGGGAGGAGAAGAAAAAATCCCATTGTGAAAAGCAAACTGTGCTCAGGTGACACTAAGCTACACCCCAATTCATGCCTTTTTTAAAAAGATCACTGGCACACATCAGTAATTTGTATATGTGATTAAGTCACAGTACAAAATCAGTGGTGTCAAAATTCCCCTTTGCACTGCAATTTAATAAAAAATGCCAGGTGAGCAGCAGAGAGTTGCAATACGTACAAAGCAAGGAAAGAATGAAATTTAAAATCATGACAAACTTGACATTGCATTACTTTTGAACATTTCAAACTTGCACCCAGGTCAAACAGGAAGGCAGTTAGAGTGAATCCCCAGAACGGCATCAGAATAAAACAGAATAGGGGGAATCTGTTCATCTCTAATAATGAACTACCAACCTCAGTAAGCTCCTCTTTATGTAACTTAGTCTCCAGGTCTTTCAGCTGATTCTGGACGTCTGCTTGTAAGAAGCCATGTATCAGACTCAGCTTTTCCTTAACACATTCCTGCAAAGAGGGGAAGGGGTGGGTGGGACAGGGAAGAGCCAAAGAGATGGTTATTACAGCTGGCAAATCAGCTATTTCTCAGGGAATAGCTCCTGAGAAGCACAGACATGATTTTCCTTTAAAGAAAGGGGGAAATGAAAATGAATGAACTTACCCTCTCTCCAAGTCCATCTTCATCCCTCTCCATGTCTTTTAGCCTGTTGAAAACAAATAAATTATAAATAATAAGTGCATGCCGTCAAGCCGATTTCAACTTATGCTGATCTTTTCCAGGGTTTCCTAGGTGGAGAATACACAGAAGTGGTTTACCCTTCCTTTCTTCTGGGGGTGTCCTGAGACTGTGCAGCTTGGGGAAAAGTCTCTTCTTTTCATTTCCTCTCATTTCAGAGGAACAGGTGAAATTTCATATAAAAATGAAAAATTTAAAAAAGCATTGAGAGGAAGACTTTCGGGACTTAATCTGGACCCACACTTCCAAGCATGGGAAATGGAGCAAGAGTACTTAGTGGCCTTGGGAAGTGGGCTTCTTCTGCCATGAGTCAGAAGTGGAGTGCCTGCACTGACGACATGGCAGTTTCACTGTTGCCTACAGTAGAAGCGAATAGGCAGGCCAAATGGAACAAGCCCAATGGAAGAAGGACAGACTAAAATTCGAATCACCCTCCATTGTCACACTGTTGCTGAATACTGTATACCGTTCACTTACAGTTGGCAATGTGTCTCCTGGGCCAAATCCAGAATTCTGAGAGGGACAATATACACAGTACCCCAACTTTGACAATGAGCCCCAATAAAGACCGGCAGACAAGGTATAAATAAAGCAGTATCTGTGACAGAACCTTTTGTTTTCCTAATTAAGGATGTATGGGTTAAGCTCCTGAACTCATGTAGTCCTCATGTAGTTCTTAAAATATGATTTTCATGAAACTAGTTCATAGATGTGAGAGCCGGTGGCTCTTATTCCACTGAACCCAAAATATCACAATGCTAATAGCTTCCTACTAAATCACTTGTACAACGCATGGAACTATTTTGGCTTCCTTTCATTTACCACCCCTCACACCGGCATTTTAAAATGGCAGCCACCTCCTGAGCCACAGGAATATCACATTGAAAAGTCACGTTTCATGTGCCATCTTGATTAAATAACAAGAAGTCAACTTATCAAGCAATTACCTAAACAAAAGTTTCACTTGAAAGGAGAAGTTAAGCATCTGGATGAAAGCAGCTGACCAATTTACTCAGTAACAAGTAATGTTAGTCGGCTCAGGGGTGACCGAGCGCTTTTCCCCCTCCTGAGGAGGAGGGAGGGGGGCAACACGTGAAACAGTTTGTGCGGTTCTCCGGTGGCAGCTAGGCCACAAGCCATGCTTGTGACGCTCCAGAAGCAGAAGGAAATGAAAGGGAGACAAACATGGAGAGATCCTGATCTCAAACATACTATTAGACTAGATGTGATTCCGCTACCAACTCTTCCTCCCTCTCAGGAAAGACTGGCCCGGACACTGCAAAAACAGGGAAAGACCAGAAAAGGGGCAGATCGGGTTTGGGAAAATCCACAGGCCAGAGTTTGGAGCAACCGCAAACTCTCGAGAGAAAGCTGAGTTCCTCCTAGACTGCCAACTTCAGACAATAGCAGCACAGACGCTCCTGTGCTGCCTCTCCTGTCTGCTTCCTGAGAGCAAACAGATGTACCATGTGGCGCAAGCTTGGGTGGCAAGCCTCAGAACAGTAAGGGCGGGAAAGGCTCAAGTACAGCTGCTTTCGGCATAGAAGTCAAGCTTACAGACAACTTAATGAGAAAGGGTTTTTTTTTTAAAAAAGAGTTTACAAAAAAACAACAGCAAGAGAGAGAGAGATAAGGAACATTTTCTGTCTTACGCTCTCTGCACCATCGTACAAAAGCCACCTCATTTTGAACAATCACACCTTTTCTTGACTCCATTTTGCCCGCTGGCCTGCAGACCACTTGAGAGCCGGAGCATAAAGTTAAGGTGGAACTCTGAACTAAAAAAGCAGGGAACAACTCAGAACAGTGATTACATGAATCCGCGTCTATTTTCCAATCTAGGGGGAAAGATGGAAAGTACAATTATTTCTCTATTCTCTTTTGTAACCATCACGACAAGAGTTTCCTACCTACATGAGAGAAATCAGGCCAAAACCCTCAAAAAGCGTTCAGCTAAGGAATTATAAAAATCCAGCACAGAGAGGAAATTGACGGAAGGAAGGTAGCAATCCTGGCAGGGTCTGTGGTGGTTGTGTGTTGGAGGGGGGGGGGGGGGAGGGAGAGAAGGGCGGGAGGAATGTTGCCTAATTTTTAAACGAACATCTTTTTGTAGCAGTGCAGAAGTCTCTGGTTCTGCAGATAGCAAGCAAGCAAAAGCACGCAGGACAAAGACAACTTGTGTTGAGCAGGCAGAACGAAAACACACCGTCCTGATTATTTGGAAGGACTGTCAGACTAGGTTGGCCCTGGGAAAGAGGCCCACCAAAATGCCTCCCAAGGAAAGGGACGGGCTCCATTGAAATGCAGCGCGCTTCTGGAGGCGCCAGCAAAGCAGGGAATGAACTAGCCCGCTCTGCAAGCTCGTGGATGCCAATGAACCCAACCCATAATGACCCCCCTCCCTCGTTCTAACGCAGAAGTCAGGGCATGTTAACCATTGCTTCCCTAGCCGCCTGTGGGCGTTAATCTGTGCCCTCAACAGACACAAACAAACCTTCCCGCCAAGCCGCACTTTCAACTGGGTAAGAAATTCATTTTCACTTCCTGTCCCATATGGCAAGCCAGGGCCATTATGAGAGAAAAAAAGCGACCAGAGGAGGAAACAGGAGAGGACAAAGCCCTTGAGATGCAGAAGGCCTGATTTTTGCTCCTCTGTTAACCCTACACAGGACTTGCACACCTTCAGTAAAAACCAGGCTGGATGCCAAAGGACGAAAACAGCTGTATTTCAGTGCCTCTCCTCGGCTCTGCCTTTGGAATGATTTTAGCAGGGAATTCTAGTCATTTCATCTCATCTCTCAATTCGCCTCTATTTTTAATAAAAATTGGTCTGCGTCTGCTGGATGAGAACACCAGAGTGGTATCAGAGAAGCCTAAACTTGACATCTTCTTTATTTTAATGACTCCTGAAAACCCAAAACACCCTTGTTTTGTAGCTTGACAGCCATGGGGGGACCAACAGTAAAATAAAATGAAAGAGTAAGAGGGCAGAAAGGGAAAATGAAACAGAATCTCTAAGTCTTCCCCATACCCCATTCGTGAGCATCCTTCTCTCTTCAAGGAAACAACATTCCTATCTAAATAAACTCCAGGGGCTTTGCAAGAACCCCACCCCATGTGGAGGACTTCACCTCAATTAGGGGCCCATAAGTCCACAATTAAAGAAGCCATGAAGGGCTCCTCCATTCTACAAGGAGTCAAGTACTTCCAAGGAAAGCCTAAGGACACACCATTTTTTTAAAGGAACCCCCCCAGAGGTGACTCAATATCCTTATATACGGGGTGTAAATATGGGGGGGCAGCACATGTGCCTCCCCCTATTTTAGGACCCACTGCTCCTCCCCATATTTGAGGAACTTTCACTTTGCTAGAAAAGGGGGAGAGGGGCGTTCAAGCATCGGTGGGTGGGCAGGAGTGGAAAGCCTGGGGTTGCCTATTATTGCATGGAGGCAGATTATCACAGCCAAGCATAAGGAGGGCAAGGAGTGCGATGACACCCCCATGCACGAGACTTTCCGCACAACAGCAAAGAGTGGCCCAGTATTGGGGGTACAAAAAAGGAAAGCCCCCCAATGGAGGAGGAAATCCCCCCCTCTGCAAACAAAATTACACAAGAAAGGCTGCAGAGACCAAGCCCCAGTCATCACCGGAGACGTATGGGGGGGGAGGTCAATGTGCCTCTAGGTTTGAAAGCGGGTGGGGAGGGGGAGATCACTTCTCCTCCCCCTTCCAGAAAGGAAAGGGGGTCGCTCCTTCCCCGCCCTACTTCCCCCCTCCCCTCACTAAGCGGGACCCCCCCGCCCTTACCGCCGGCGTAGCTCCTCCGGGGTCAACGGGGTGGCCCGGGCAGGCATCGGGACCAACAAGACAGCAGGCAGGGAGGCGACGGGAACCGATTTCGCGCGCACCGGGGAGGGAGGGAGGCGGAGGGAGGAGCGAGGGGGAGGAGCGGGCTTCGGGAGAGACCATTCGAGATGAGGGGCGGGGGTGGGCAGGGCGGAACTTACCAAGTCGTCATTGACGGGCTGGGAGAAACCAAAGTGCTAAAGGGGAGGGAGAGAGAATACGAACTGAGATGGATGGGCGGGATTAAGCATCGGGGGCGGAGCCACGTTCTTGGGAGGTGCCTTTCGTTTCCATTCCCCCCCCCCAAAGAATTGGTGAAACTCCGACGACAGGCAGTTTGGCTGAGGGCGCCCACCCCGTGGGGATTTGGGTCTCACAAAACTGGGTTGCTGGATCACAGCAAGCTCCACAGAGTTCAGCTTTCTCAGGAGAAACTCCAGTGTACAAGGAGTGAAGGCAAGAGTCCTTTCCTTGATGTATTTGCACCAGGTAGATTGCACCGTCTCTGGAGGATCTGTTTAACTCAGAGCATGGAGAAATTACTTTTTTCCTACTTCAACCCCTGGCATCTCTTAACTAGCAAAGTCAGTGGCTGTGCTTGTTAGGGGGATTCTGGGTGTTGTAGTTGCAAACTCTTCTTCCTGTCATATCAGATCTGCCTTCCCCCCCCTACCCCTCCCCCCACCCGCCTGGAGAACAACGACGACGTCTAGCCGCACGTTGCAAACTAACATGTCTTATTTGGCTTAACTAATGGATTGCAACCATTTATCAGAGGAATGGAGGATTGCCTCAGTTGGTTTTGGTCTGATTGTTCTTAGCATGCTTTATGTGGAGGTGAGGGATTGTTAATCGATGGAGTCACAGGGAACTGAAATTACAGGATGTGATTGTTGCCTTAATGAGAATTACTAGCATTCATTAACAAAGGGTTGCCCAATGGGAAAAGACACATTCTTGGAACAAGATAAAAAGCCTTTATCCCTCTTCAAGCCTTGGACAGATCGGCTTGGAAATCTTCACCGATTTTCACCAGTTGTTTCCTGTTCTGCCTTTGAAGTTCTTTTGTCTTCACACTTTTCCTGGAAGAAGAGACAGTGGTGGATTGATCTTTGGCTAGAGGGTTTATTGTAAATTGAGCAGAACATGGACATTTACATGTTAGAAAAGAAATTTTTTAATGATCACTTGTTGCAGAAAATAACTTATTAACACGACTCAGTGCCATTTTGAAATGTAGCTTGCTTCTATCTGAATCTGGCAATGCATAACCTAACAGAGCATGGACAGAGTTCCTGCTCTTGTTCCTCTGAAGATGCCAGCCATAGAGACTGGCGAAACATCAGGAAGAACAACCTTCAGAACAGGGCCAAAGAACCACAACAACCGTATCCTAAATAACTTAGGCCTGTTGCCAATGACCCTTTTGGGGCAAACTGATTGATTGGGTGGTGGCGCAGCAACTTCAGCCATACCTGGAGGAGGAGGGATGCCTGGGTCCTTTCCCATGTGAGTTCAGGCTGTGTCAAGGAATTGAGATAGTATGGATCACAGTGCACGACGACCTCTTCAGGGAGTCTGAGAGATGAAACAGGCCCCTTGATCTCTCTCCAGCTTTTGATAGTGTCGACCACGGTATCCGCCTGGGCCGACTGGTGGGGATAAGGGTTAGAGGTCTGGAACCTCTTCAGGGAGTCTGAGAGATGAGACAGGCCCCTCATGTTGCTCCTTGATCTCTCTCCGGCTTTTGATAGTGTCAACCACGGTATCCGCCTGGGCTGACTGGTGGGGATAAGGGTTAGAGGTCTGGCATTAAGCTGGTTCTGGCTGTTCCTTGAGGGTTGGATCCAAAGAGTACAGTTTAGGGAGGAACTGTTGGCCCCATTGACCCTCAAGTATCTTGTGCCCATCAGTGTCCCAGTGCTCTTTAACATCTGTGTAAAGTCACTGGGGAAGGTCATCCAGAGATTTGGAGGGTGTGTCCATCAGTAAACTGATGGATGACACGCAACTCTGTCTCTTCTTTACACTCCCGGAGTGAATGAAGGCTAATAGGCTGAAGCTGAACCTGGACAAGATGGAGATGCTTCTTCTGGAGGCAGGCAGACAGGTCAGGGAATTCTCTCCCTAAATTGGATGGTATAACCCTCCCTCTTAGGTATCAAGTTTGTAATCTGGGTGTTTTCTTGGCCCTAACCCTATCATGAGAATCCCGGATTGTGGCTGTGACCAGGTCAATGTTTAATCACTTTAGGCTGATCTCTCAGGTGCATCCTTACCTGGATGGGGAAGCCCTGAAGACCTTGATGCATGTGCTGGTTATTATCAAGGATCAACTACTGCAACGCTCCCTATGTGGGGCTTCCCTTGAAACTGACCCAGACCTTCCCACAGGTGCAGAATGTGGTGGCCAGGCTGGTGTTGAATAGGAAGAAGTACAAGCACATTTTCTGGGTTCTGGACAGACCTGTACTGGTTGCCCGTGTTGTACTGTGTAAGCTTCAAGGTTTTGGTTCTTACCTATAAAGCTCTTCACAGTTTGGAACCTCGGTACCTGTTGGAGCATCTTTCCTTCAAAATGTCCACCCATGCCACCCGTTCCTCTTCTGGGTCACCACACTGAGGGAGCCCAGGAAGTCATCAGCCAGAAATAATGCCTTTGTGGTTGTGGCACCATCCCTTTGAAAGGGGCTCCCAATAGAAAGAGCCATGCCTGGCTTCCCCCCCGCCCTTGCTCCATTTAAAGGGACACTCAAGACAAGGCTGTGTACTGAAGCCTTTGAGAGCATCCTCTCTTAATGTAATATGGCTGACTACTTTCAGATTGCTTTTTGGCCATAGTTTGGTTTTCACTGACTTATTTGATGGTTGTTTTATTGATTGTAGGTTGCGATTGTTTTTCACTACATTTATGGTTTGTTTTACTTTATGTTTATTCTGCTCTGGAAGTAAACCACCCACAGTAGTGCTTATCACTAATTAGTGCAGTATACAAGTTTAATAAATAAATGAATAATATTATTCACTTTGATTTTTATAAAAACTTGTTAAAGTTGTCTGTTGTATACTAAAGTTGTCTACTTACTTGTTACCCGTTAGTCTTAATTACTTTTTAGTTGCTTTTTAACATCTAAGAAATCAAGAAAATGGACCAAAATCTGAGAAAATATCCCCTCAATGTATCCCAAAGAACCTTGTCCCCCAAAAAGTAATGAGAAAGAGTGATGAATGTATGTTACCTATTGTAGCAGAATGCAATTGGCAGTGTTAACCTGTTATGTTACATCTTAAAGGACTGTGGTTGTCCCTCTCATTACCAGTCTTGGTTTGTTTGTTTGTTTGATTGATTGATTAAGATATTTCTGTGCTGCCTTTCTCCCCAAAGGGGACCCAAGGTGGCTCACGTCATTAAAAATACTATATTCAAAAGCATAGTAAAAACTATAAAACAGTAAGTATACAAATATTTCAAAAGAATTATACAAATATATTAAAAATGGCAAATTGAATCAATATTAAAGCACATGTAAAAGAACAGAACACAACAATCTGCAGCTGATTTCTATGCTGCCTTTCTCCCCAAAGGGGACCCAAGGTGGCTCACGTCATTAAAAATACTATATTCAAAAGCATAGTAAAAACTATAAAACAGTAAGTATACAAATATTTCAAAAGAATTATACAAATATATTAAACATGGCAAATTGAATCAATATTAAAGCACATGTAAAAGAACAGAACACAACAATCTGCAGCTGAGCGTCCTTTCGGCTTTGGCCCAACCGTTTCATTAGCTCTGGAGCTACTTGCACTTGTCCTCCACTCTTCCTCAGTAGCATGTTGGATGCCTTCCGACCTGAGGGTCCCATCTTCCAGCGTCATACAGTATCTTTTAGTCTTTTGTTTCTGTTCATGGAGTTTTCTTGGAAAAGATACTGGAGTGGCTTGCCAGTTCCTACTCCAGGTGGATCGCGTTTAGTCAGAGCTCTCCACTATGTCCTGTCCGTCTTGGGTGTCCCTGCATGGCATAGCCCATACCTTTTCTGAATTACTCAAGCGCCTTCGCCACAACAAGGCAGCAGTCCGTGAAGGGGAAGGCTATTGCTATCACACTAAATATCATTGTGCAAATGTTCTCCTTGCCAATGTGACCCCTTGAAGATCCAGTAACTACAGTATATAGGATCAAAGAGCATTTCCAAGCTATGGACTTAATCTTTTGGGGGAGCGAACCCTTTCCCGTGTTAGGTTTCTTAGCAGCTCCATCTTCTAATCCCAACTTGATCAACCTTTTGATCTAGAGTATTATTAAGTTAAGGCAGTATTAACTGCTTCCTTGGCACTCGGGTGATAAGGAGCAACAGACCTGAGCATCACCAGCATATTGACCTGTGTGGGCACATTGGTCCTGCTTCCTCTGTCACTGACCTTTCCACATTGAGCAGCACATTTGGAAATCCTGATACATCAGAGTCAAATTCTATTTTAAGGGAAATACTATATTTCTTGCTGTCACAGTGTTTTGCCTCCAGATGTCCAGTTCCTTCAAAGTGCAATAAGACTTGCAAATGAAGTGCATGTTTACCTCTCAATGACCAGTCAAAAACAAAAGCTACTAATCTATGACATGTGGAGGTGGGGAAGCTCCTGCAAGGACAAACAGATGTCTTTATAATTCTTCCAAGTCTCAGTCTTCTTCTGAATTTTTTGATGCAGACTTCATTTGGGTTGATGATTCAAACAAGGTACAGAAAACCTTTAACAAATTCAGTATCTTTACTGTCAACATTGAAGTTATGTAAGTCATTCGTAGACACGATTTTCTTCTTCTTTATATTCAGCTGGAGCGTTTCTTTTCTTCCGTCTTCTTTCAACTACATCAGAAGTTGTTTCAAGTACTGCTTTCTGCCAGTAATAGGGTGTCATCTGCGCATCTTCAATTACTGATATTTGCCTTACGAAATTTCACTCTACCTTCATCTGAACAATTTGCTTTTCCTTATAATCTTTTTTTTCATACAGATTGAACAGATAAGGAGATAACATACATCCTTTGGTGTGCGTCTTCAGCCCCCCATCTAGGCTTTTC